ATCATTTATGTCATTTATGACAGCTTGAGTTTCTTGCGTGTAGCGCAATCGCTTTCCTTCTCCCAAGCCGTCTTCCATTTTGGAGTCACCATGGTGTCACCATGACCTTGATTCCTCAACGTAACAGGGTTCTTAAAAAGAAATCTATCGATTCTGTTCGGTCGTAGGTTTGGAAGAATCTGCGATGCAGCTGAAATTTAACGAAAAGGTTGATAGGTCCATACAATTTTTCGTTCCTTTTCCGCCAGATGGCGGTTCAAGTTCATAGGGGACGCTGAGACCCCATATGCAAAGGTAAACATTGAAGGAAATTTTAATAAATGCGAGGACATGAACGAATCCAAGTCGACGGTCGATCACTACCATACTAATCTCTCACATGACCAGTTTCTTCAAATCGAACAAGATTCCATATAAACCATGGATCGTGTGTAATATGACGGTATTGTCTTCTGTTCGATAGGCTTGGATGGCTCTGGTTACAGAGTTTCTATTTTGGGAAGAACACGAAATCAATACGATTCGTTGCTGCACGGTGAGCTTTGGCATCTTGCCCCAAATTGTTTAAACGCCAGGTCGACTCCTCTATTTAGTTCTTCGTTTACTCTTGTTTATGCGACTACAGATGAACAGCCAGTTTTGCAAGTTTGGCAGAAAACCTCATGGGCTCACTAACTTCTTTTTCGAATTTAAACTGGATTCGAGGGTCACGTCCAAAACTATGCCAAAACGAAATCGGATGATTTCTTTATTATAACAGCAGTATACAGGGTGTCCCATAAGTCACTATACCTATTCAAGCTGCAATATTTTCCCAACTGCGACAAGCAGGTCACTGTTGTTTGCATCAATGGAAAGATAATCCTTTGGATTTTTTCGCGATAACTACTTGGTATTAGACTTAAACGGAAATTGCTTGGAATGCACATTAGAAAGGTATACCTTTTTAGGATGATTAATTTTATTTAATTAATAACCTTTTCCAATCCTCTCTGACAAAATTTATAATTTTTAAATGTTTTTATTAAAACGAAAAAACGAAAAGTTTCCCTCTGGATGGAGGTCTTTGAGAGTCCCGTCAGAGTTCAAAGGGAGTTCAGGCGATTTTTTTGGTGCCAAGTCTCATGTCAAATGTATTGAGTAGGCGGAGGGCGTTTTGAGGCGCTTTCAAAACACCCAATTGCCTCTATTTTTGACAAAGAATTTCAAATGACATCCTATCATTCAGTTAATGTTACTTCTTTTTTGTGCAAACTGTTTAGTAGTAGTGATTTTTTGAAATGGTATAGTGACTTAAGGGACTTATGAGACGTTACTCATGTGCCTTAGGCCACCGGGCACGATTACACTTTCTTTTATTGTCCTACAGTAATTTGCAAATAGTCCATGTGGAACAGAGACATGCGGAGAAGGCTAGCAATTAACAGTTTTCCCAATCCCCGACGAGCTTTGGCCCTTCTCTCTCATTCTGGGTAAATTCTCTCTTTCTTTCTTCATTTTATTTATTTATACTGCATATATTTTTAAACCCTAGAACTTCCTTCCGGACCAATGAACCCTGACACAAAATGTAACCATTTGTCTAGGCTGTGCCGTAAACATTTTTTGGGTATTTATCAAACCTTCAACCGTAACTAATAAAATATACTTTTGTATATTTTATGTATATTTTATACATTTTTATATGTATATTTTATCTGTATATTTTATACATTCGTTTTTTTTTCTTCGTTCCTGTGCTTTATAAATTGGGCACTGGGTTCAATGGGTAAGACGTGTTACAAAATCTCTTGGGTAGTTCCGGGGTTAAGAAATATTTCTCCATTCCGGTAGGGGTTCAGACCCCCTGGGCCACTTCCTTGGGTCCCATTGGCCTAATTACAATTCTTCGTGAAAGGAATGAAAAAGATAATGATAGTTTATTCCCCAGCGAAGAAATAAAAATGCACACGGCTAAACAGGAGACAGAGGCACAAATAATCGACAGCAGGCCTAGAGTCAAAGGGAGATGATTAACCTCTGAATCGAGAGGGCTTGGGTCTCAACATGTCAGATAATAATGATAATAATAATAAAAAGCAATAAACAATAAAAAATAATACATGAAATAAGAAAATTGATGCAAGAAATAAAAAGTAAAAAAAAGTAAACCTAATATGAATGAAAAGAATATTCTGAGTGGGATACGTGGTCACATACGATGGTATGCAACAAAAAAAAGGGGAAAGAAAAACAAGAGACGAAAGACATATACAGTGTAGAAAGAAGACGGAGAGAGATGGAAGGCCAGTTAGGGAAGAAGGGCAGAAGGGGTAGGAGGGGGGTAGAACGAAAGGACGCAAGTCCAGGGACCAACAGACAATAGAATCATTTTCAATTGTTTACCCTGCGAATAGGAGTGCAGGAAAGGGGACACAGTCCTTCCAAACTTGTCCAAATGTTAAGGGGAATATCTTCAGATATACCCCCGCCTCCTTGCATCACCATAGAAATAACTTACACGATGAATAAGGTAGCACGAATTCATTTGCAAATCTTTTTGCATGTCATTACTATGAATGTGCGTCTTTTCTCCTTTGTCCTTGCGTTACGTTCTTATATAGGGTGATTTTTAAAAAGTGTTCGTCGTTTTCAATGAAAGGAAGATAGCTGCGAGCAACAATGATAAGTCAGACATGCAATCGACATTGGAAAGTTACGAGGTGCTGAAATGAGGAATGAATTTTTGCCTGTCTCAGGCATAAATGCCCCGACACACAATATACGAGATCATTCCACCTCAAGTGTGTTAATGGTTTATGCTCGATCGTCTCAGAATTTGCTGAAAAGAATTCGCGATCGGATTAAGGTGAGAATGGCGGAGGGGCGGATCCAGGGGGGGGGGGGGAGTTTGGTAAGAAGTAGGGAACCGCCCCTTCTATGAAAAATGTCTGTATCCACCTCTGGAATGGCGTAGTGTCAAAATCGAGGTCTATCCATTGGTACTTTTCAAATCCTTCTCTTTCTGCCCTCGTTTGCTTTAGAGATCTACGATTTTACAACCACTGCAGGCATCATCATCATAGTATCATTACGATAATGAAAGCTTTCACGCTTATAACTTTTTCCCCGTGTCAAAGCTGTCTCCAACGAAGTTAGAAATGCTTTCTGTCTTATTGGACTCGAGTTCATGAACATGGGCGAGATTTCCATCATATCATGAAATGGATACGCCTACACTCAATTATGAATGTGAATGGACGGAAAGGAAACGAGCGATAGCGTTTCGTGCATGCGCACCTTCAGATGTGCATGAACAAATGAGGAAAGAGCGAGGTCTGAACGAGAATCAAGAATCGCTTCTCTAGAATGCCATAGCCTGATTTTGAATGACTCGTGCAAATATACCTTTTCTGCTATAAAATATTGAATGAGTCTCTTCGCGAACGATTTATCCATTCAGAGGGGGAATCATGTATTTTCTTATCCTTTAAAGGTGTGATCCCTGACAATTCTTCCTGTTTCCTTCGGAAGGGTTTTCGCCCCTTTGCTGGAGTCGATGCACCATTATATTCCTTCGCACTTTCGCGACTTAGTGTACCACGGGCACCATGGACATATTTTCAAGTAGTCATCAAGCACCAACGATGGTGCACAACTTCCACTGGCAACTTGAATTGTCAACGATTCTTGTTTGTCCATAAGAAGCACAATAAACAAAGGTTTTCATAAACAAAAACACAAGACCACTCACGTGGTCACAAACGAAAAGCAGAAAATTCCCTTACGTCAAGAACGTGTTAAGCTTTGCTTACTTTGAGTCTCCGGTACCTCGAATTCGAGATTTTCTCCGAACCCGGACACCCTGTACACGTATGGCATACATCTGGTCTAGCACTACCCCCCTCGATCCTCATCTCGCCCAGCAGCCCCTCCCCCCTCGACGCTCAGCTACCATGATACTGAGACTCCCTTTCCGAAAATCCTGAAAATTTGAGCACTGATGTTAATCATAGTACTCGGCCATTATTGGAAGTATATTTTAGGTCCCATCAAATGTTTACATTCATACATTGTACATAGAGATCCCCTAAGGATATGAACCTCGAGCGAGGATGTGGGAGGTACAAGGTAGAAAGAGAGCAGAGTGGGAGGGGGAGGAAAGGGGAGGGGCGGGAGGGAAAGAAGGTGATACTCGTAGGAGGAGTCTGCATCGACCCATGGAGACGAGGGAAATATCCAGGCATGTCTCAGAAAGATTTCTCTTGATTGGACCCCAGATATGACGTCAATGAATGTTGGAATCGCGTGACGTCATCATCATCTTCCTTCCCCCGTATCGCATCCTACACTTTTGGTATATCACGATATAGATCCAGACCCGGATCATCATTGTAGACCATGACTCATCCCTCGATCGATATATCTCGACCCTGCTTCTTATGTCCGTGCTTACAGGCATCAAAATGTCCTTACTCAACCTTTGCGTTTCTTCTTTTTGTGTAGCATTCTCGTGTAGTAAACTGTCATAGGCCTGAATGCCCTTCTTTCAAGGAAACGTTCCCAACGTCGGGCGGAAACAGTCATTCACGGGACAGGAAACTCCCAGCGTGCCAGTGAGAAGCCGTTGGCAGAGATCTAGAAACGGTGGGAAACGGAACTGCCTCCGCAAAAAAAAAAAAGAGGAAGGGGAGGGGGGGAGAGAGAAATAAGGAATAGGATCTATTCATTCTTCTTCTTCCTTTCCGTTGCACAGGAATGTGTCCCATAGAATGAAAAAGGCAATAAAACAGGAAACGGGATTTGAGGGAAATGGAGTCCGCTTCGGGTCCATTACGCATGTAATGCGGTGAGGGGCTTATTCAAGGAGCACCGCTATGCGGGCTTCATTCTTCTGACCTCGCATACACCACTACCGGTCGGAGAAGAGAATGAATGGCGGCGTAATTCCTTCCTTGCTTCCGATTGGTAGACGGGAGTCACGTGATACCCTCTCCTCGACAGACGGGGATCTGGAGAATCTCGGTTCTCAGTGAGTGCTGGATTGAGCTTCGCTGCGTGTGGGTCGCGTGTCCGGGCCTATTCTCTGCTTTAGTTCTCTCACTTAGACTGCTTTTTTTTTTACGTTTCATTTTGTTCCCCATTCCCATCCTATGACTACTGTGCATTCGGAGAGAGTGGAGTTGATTTGAGTTCGATGTCAGTCACGAGACGAGGCGTTCTTAGACGGCATCGATCTCTGTGCATCCCAGGGCATTCTACGTTTGGCCGAGGCCAAGGTCTGATACCGCTGCTCTGCACTTGCCATGCCTTCCATCGAGATTATCATTGAGAATTGCAGCAAAATGACTCCTGTATCATCTTCCTCCGTTACCGGCGAATGGTTAGCCCTGGAACTGAGGAGATCCACCCCAGATGTGTGCGTTATTGACTGCCGAAACCCGTCGGATTTTTCGCAATCCCACATCGGGGGTGCAGTGAATTTGACCATTCCAACCCTACTGTTTCGACGCTTTGCCAACGGGAAACTCAATTTTGAATCTGTGATAAAGTGCCCGGACACGAAGAAGAAGCTCATGGGGGCATTGGACAACGGGAAGACGATTGTCATCTGTGATGATACTCATGAAAATCCCGAGGAGGATTCAACCGGTGATTCAAACGCCTCAATTCAATCTGTCCTCCTCAAGCGACTCGCTCAAGACGGTCATCAGATCGTCTCCTTGGAAGGTAGGCCTAACACATTCCCCTAACTTTCAGGGAAACCCGGGAGCACCGTTTTGGAGATTACTAATTAAAAATGACGTCACGTTTGATGGCCCAAGCTTTCCTGGGGCCTGATGTTGAGTGGGAGGGGATTCAAGTAGGTCTGGGCTAGGGCCTAATGAGAAGGGAGTGCGTGGGCGTGCCACGGTACATAATGACACGTTTCCTTGGCAGAGGTTCCTCTTCACGCCTTTAGGCGTCGAGGAAAGGAAATGCGAAACGGAAATGGATGCCACGGCTGGACGGGCGGAAGACATAATATGCCGCCTACTTCCTGTTTTAAACGCTTGGAAGAGTCTCTCCGGCTTCCGGCTGAATTTTCCGCCATTCTCTCCCAGGCCGTAAGCTACCGGAAACCACGAACCCCGCGACAGCAGATTAAAGAATCTCATTCACTTCAATGCATCTAAGGAAGGATAATTTATTTTCCTTGAGACTTGTAATGGAGTATGCTTCACCTTAGTCTAGTCTGTTAACGTATGAAGTGCAGCCTGAAAGGGCGTAAAGAGAATGGAGGAGAGGAAGTGGGGCACGTCATCGGACTGAAGCTTGCCAGATGAGCGGGGGATTCGGGAAGAAAGGGCCGTGTTTTCCTCGTGCGTGCTATGTGCATGCGTTCGGGACCGGATTTCATCCACTTCCCCCTCCTCTCTTTCCATAGAACCACTTGAATATAGGGAGAGGCCTTCACTGGCTGCCCGTAATTGAAAGTCAATACCCTCGCCCACGTCCTCCTCCACCTCCTCCCTTTCCATACGTACGGATAAGGAATGCTGACCGCGTCTCTACGAAGTGGATTTCGCGTGGGCGACTTTACATCAAGCCCTCTTACTATCTCCTGAGAATCAGCTAGGGACGAATATCTTCGTAATATGACTTTTACGACGTGGCAACGGGACTAGCGAAAGAATTGATGCGTAAGAGACCCAGGCGTCCAAGAGCGGAGGAGGGCACTACGGGGAGAGAGGGGGGGAGAAGGAGAAAGAGAGGAAGGTAGGGGAGAAAAATCTTTTCATCTTGTGAAGCCCTAAAGGCCTACAGGGTGTGTGGAAGGAGTTTGAATGGACGCCCTGAGCCCTGGCGCCACACTGTCCGCCCACCATTCTCTGCCCCTCAATCCTGGAAACCTTTCAATTACTACATCATAGGCGTATCATTGGGACTTGATGTTCGTTGCAGGAGGGTATACATGTTTCCGGCTGTCCTACCCGGAGTGGTGTGAGGGTGGGTGTTGCAGTAGCGAGCCACCGTTGATGGGGCTTCAAAGCCTACGCATTGACTCGTGTGAGAGTGTCCGCTCCTTGGATTCTTTGGACTCTTCCCTCGGTCTCGACGACGACAATCATTCCTCCTCTGGCTCAGGATTAGGCTCCAATCATTATCCTCCTCCTTCCCCGGGCTTCCCCGTCGAGATCCTTCCGCATTTGTTCCTCGGTAACGCCCAGAACTCTGAGGATGCTGAGGCTCTGAAGAAACACGGGATCCAGGTGATTTTCTTCTTTCCCCTTCTTTGCAGTATGTTGAATAAATAGTCGGCAGAGGAGTGATTCAATGAAATTGCACAAGCTCATTCGTACATGTTGTAAATCAATGGCGGTAGGGGAGATTAAGAGAGAGAGAGAGCTCGCGCATTGGGAGGGAGAAAAAAAGAGGCATAATTGTACTGTAAAGTTGAATGGGACCAGCAAAGCCAAGCCGAGGCTAGGGAAGGTAGAAGTTCTTGGGCTGTTGAGATTCCTTATCTTAACGACTTCCGGCCCCAATTCAGTGGCCGAGGGTGCATCCGGAGCCGGGGGCTTCTACCTCTTGTTGCTCGCGCTCTCTCTTTTTCTTTCATTCCTATTTGTATATCCTCCTTTGCCTTTCTAGCTTCTCTTCTTAAAAGGCCTGGCTGGGGCTGTCTTCCGTAAAACCGGTTTCTCCCCTCTACTGAAGTCAGTTAACCAAGGTCATCAGTTGGAATCCGGGCTCTGAGACGAGTTCCGGATCCGTAGCTACAAATTATTCCATACTAGGCTAGATGCCTCAGTCATGAGAGTTGGTTGACCTTCATGCTTAAGCGGGCGGATTCCATCAGTCTTGGACATGTGCCAGAGTGTTCATTCATGAAATGCATTCTGTGGCATGACCTCTTTCTCGACTTCTCTTCCAGTATATCCTGAACGTGACGCCGAATTTACCGAACGTGTTCGAGGACTCTGGGGACATCAAGTACATGCAAATCCCGATCGACGACCATTGGAGTCAGGACGTGGCCAATTTCTTCCCTGAAGCCATTTCCTTCATAGGTGAGAGCCTTTTATTTATTTTTTCTTCAATTGACACAGGTGGATGTGTGCTCGAGAGAGATAAGGCCAGGGTCCTTGAGATAAGTACGATACCAATAGGAGGTTGGTTGCTGTTGCGAGGCGAGTTTTTTTCTTTTCTTTTGCGTGTCTCTTAGCTTCCGGTCTGTCGGGACTGGCTTGAGTCATTTTGAGATAAGAGCAAACTCCCTCCGGATGTGAATCATTCATTCACTACTGGCGATTTCATTACTATGCATGAACTTGAGTGAAACTATAGGCCGAGGACGGGCAGGGACGGATAAACTGTGGACGGTGGTATGGAGCTGGCAGAAATAAGGGGAAGGAAGGGAAGTCAGGGGGAAGCGACGGGTTAACTCGGACAGTGAAGACCACCGTAAAGAAATGATGGGAAGTGTCACGTGCCCCGGAAGTGGAAGGCATATGGTCTGAAAACGACCCAGTGAGGCTAAGAGTGAATGAATGAAAGGGGGAGAAAATTGAATGAACGAGGACAGCAGGTGTGAGAGGAAGCATGGAGTCAGTGTAAGAAGCACTCACGCACCATTTTAAGTGAATCTTTCAGTGGATTTTCTCGTGTCTTCTCGAGGTCTCCGCTCACTTCGAGATTCTTGAAATATTCACGAGGACCGGGTTTTGGGGAGTTTCTATTTTTGGGTCCTCCCCCTATTAAAAATTCATTCTCTCATTGAATGGAGTGAAAGACCCGGATCCATTCACATGATGACGGTGTAGGCCTTCTCTGTGGAGAGTCAGGGTCGTCTGCATTCGGTGAGAGAGCAAACGGCTTCACGGCATCAGAAGCCGTGGTGATGCACCCTCACGTCACCAGGGAAAGGAAGGGGCGAAAGAGAAGCGACAAAAGTATGAATGAATGAGAGGATGGATGAATCTCCTGTACTGTTCGTTTCTTCTGCCTTCAAAAGCAACGAACTAGCGCTGCCTTGTTATTGGCCAAATAAGCAAGCATGAGCTAAGAAATAAATGAATGAATGAATCTCCGTGTGGAGGCCCCTATGATTGGCAAGGGCAAGCAAGGAATTCTGTAGACGGAGAGAGCGGAAAGGGAAAGGGAGAAGGGATCGATAGGAAGAGGTGGGGACTAGAGAATGGATCTCCTTCTGATGGATGGCATGGCACGATGGCAGCCCCGAAATGAAAAACAGGAGCCGGAAGTACGCCATCGATCCCCCTTTTCCTCCCGTCAAACATGAAAGTATAACCTATGTAGGCCTAATGCCAATATACAAGTGCATTTGGGTCTTCCAATTCCATGCAGAGGTCATACGTAAGGAGGGGCTTCATTCATTGACCAGGCTGTGAGTTTGTCATTTCTTAATGGCTGAAGCAATGAATGAATTAACAGCACGGGAAGTGCTGGGGCTTCCATAGAAGATTCCATTCACAAAGGAGGATGTGGGGGAGGGGGTGGAATCGATGGAGGGAAGGGAGAGAGAAAGCGTAGGCGGACGGGAGAGTGTGTTGGCATGATGCCAAGATACATCCACTCATTCATGTTCCATTCTCTTTTCTTTGCCCCATTTTCGCTCGATACCGGTCATCACCCGTAGCCATTCCCGTTCCATGTGGGGGCGTTCTAGGTGCTGCTTTCATCCGTTCCTTATCCTGGATTCACTTGCTAGGCTCACGGTTGTTGACAACCTTGCTTGCTCCAGGAAAATCCTCATCCCCTTGCGGATCAAGCACACGTATGATTCACAAATGGGTTATCGACCATTGCGTAGGAAGGAGGGGTGGGTGCACACCCGGCGTCCCTGCACCCTCCAAAGTTCGCGAACTTAGATAATTTCTGCATCATTAATTTTTTCCACATTCACATTGGAGCACCCCGCTTGCCATAGTTGTTGAAGCATTGTTGGACTATTATTATTCATGCCCTTCATGATCTTGGGGGAAAGAGAGAATTTAGGAATGATGGTGTTTGAACTTAATGCAGTCGGTGGATGCTTTCGATAGCAGCACGGAACTGATCTAAGGTTCATGCACAGGCCACGGAACGGTCTGTGCACTTAACCGAGGTGCAGTCGCGCGTTTCATTTCCATACCCGACCTGAGAGACCGAATTTTGCATGGCACGTTCATGCACGATCGCGCTAGTGCGAGAAGTCTGTTTTCATTTGGGCCAGGATCAGTCGCGAAACCCGAGTTCCATGCCCGTTGAGCCCAGTGTCAGTTAGGCCTACGTAAATGTTACCACTCTAGTGCCGTAGTCATGGAGATGGCAGGCCCCTTCTCCATTTAAGTCTCTCGTATGGACGAAGCCATACACTTGACAATTTATTTCAAGCATATAATTTAGCTTAACACCTAGCAGGCTCTGGTTTTCGTGAGCAAGTAAGGCCTCACATAGGACCTCTTTGACTCCTCCTACCCCTCCCCCCCTACACACTCCCCAAGAAATGATTTTCCTGACTACACCGCTGCTCCACCCTCAGAATGTTTTGTAGATATGGGTGGATGTTTCTTTCTCTCATGATAAACGAAAGATGTTTTTGAATGGACTTTAATAGCACCCTTTTTTCTTCCCTTGTGCAGATGAAGCAAGACAAAGTGGAGTGGGAGTTCTGGTTCATTGCTGGGCAGGGATTTCCCGTTCGGTGACGATAACAGTGGCCTACCTCATGTATAAACTGTCCATGAGTTTGAATGAAGCGTACGACTTCGTCCGGAAGAGGAAGGCAAACATTGCGCCTAATTTCAACTTCATGGGACAGCTGTTGGATTTTGAGCGGCAATTGAATCTTAGCCCAGCCTGCAGTTGTGCAGCAGAAAAGGAAGGCTGCCGTTGTCGGGTCCCTTATTTTCTGACTCCCGGCAAGAAAAGCCCTGATTCTGGCATCGATTTTGACCGCTGGTCTTGAATTTCAAACTCCAGCTTCCTTTGTGTGCTGCTGTGACAATTTTCTCTCAGAAACACTCTGTCTTGAATCGATTGGGATTTTTGTCGTGTGAGAATCATATGTGCCAAAAGTATGCTCTTCTTTTCCCCTTGACTGGACAAAATGATTCTCCTATTTATGTCTCTTTCCATTTCGTGAGTCTCTTTGACAGACTCATTTCCTCCTTCATTTCTTTCCCTTCCAACATTCCTTGAAAGCAGAAATGCTTAAAATGGAGTTCTTGTCTTTGCTTTGATTTTTGCCATATTTGACGAGTTTGGAGTTTTTTGTGCCACTTTCTTTCGTATATCAAAAATTTTATTTATGTTTGAGAAGAAAACTTTTTGTTTGCATGGAGGGAAGGAAGAAAGAAACTATCCCAATTGAGAAAGTGAGGCACAATATTTATGAGAATAAAAGAACATTATATTGATGCAAATGAGAACATCTTGGTGAGTTTTCTTCAGGTTTGTAAGTCATGATTTTACTGATTCGTAATTCTTTCAGAGGGACTTGTACTGTACAAATTTTGCCCAGTAGGGTATTTAGTAGGGTGCTGGGCACCAAGGGGGTTGGTCCATGGGCTCCCATTCTTTTGGAGTGAGTGGGTAGGTGGAGTTAATGCTGTGGAGAGACACCACCTGATTAAAACCTGCAAATGGCTCTGGGTTGCATGGAATTTATAATAAGGTTTAGAAACAACAGTCATGATTGTGTGTTCAAGACTAAGAATCTCTGGAACATGGTCAATATTTCATCTGTAACAGCAAGTACAAGGTGCAGTCAAAGAGAAGTGATGACTGCAACCCATTCCCATCATCTTTCAAGAAGCAGCTCTGTAATGCTGGATACCTACTTAGCTTTGTTTCTTTTTTACAACTTCATGAAATTTCACATTGTACCTTTACCACTAGTTAAGTAGCTTCTCAAATTCCAGCTGCTTGAGTGAACTGATCCTGTAAATACCATAAAGTACATTTTTACAGGAAAAACAAAGGACTGTCCCTCTCAAAGTTCCTGCACCAATTATATACATTTTTCTTGCTGGAAGGGTAGACTATTCACAGACTTCTTTAGACTGATGATAGGTTTTGGTAGCATCATTGCCTTTGTGGATTAGCCTAACTGTATTTTAAAAGGATATAAATAATTTATGATATTAGATACACTCCTGAAATTTCACATAAGTGTTGAAGAAACATAGCTATTGAGTACGCAGCCTTACAATACTGTTTTTTGAAAGATGAAGGATCTGTGCCATAGCGATCATTACATTATGACTGCATCTCATACTTAAGCTATGCCTGGCTTCTCAATTGAAATTCATTTTTTAGGCTATTTTAGGAAAATTTCTATGCAATCCATTTGAATCAACAAATATCAGATAGAGGAGTGTGCTCAAAGTTTATTCAACTTTCCCCTTGCTTTACAGTAGAGAACTGGGCAGAAGGATGAGGCACCCAGAAAATATTTGAGTTCCCTGTCCACTTACAATCTCCAATTTCTTTTGAATGATTGTTCATTACCCTTTTTTGGCAATATCAATCTAGATGAAGTTTCAAGGGCTTGTTGGGAACATATCCCACTTAGAACAGATAAGCTACAAATGAATTTCAGGCAATTGACCTGCACTGCAGTCCATGACTTGCTTTCTTATTGTGGAATGTTTGCATATTATCTGGGAATGTGAACCCAGATTATACACCATCACCTACATTACACCATTGAAAACTTGAGACATTTAACTCAGAAATGATACAATTTTGCACATTTATGCTCTACTGTGCTTCTCCAGTTTCCAACAATTTGCCCTTAGAAATGCTCATGTCAAGTGGGGGTGTTCTTCATTAGTGTCTATACCAAATGGGAATCATAATATTTATATGGAAGAGATGGGGAAATTTGACAATTATGGTAATTCAAACTTTGTTTCAACATCATGTTAAGTTGTTTTTTCCAAGTACTAGCAAAGAGATTGATTATGTATCTACATTTATGCCTACTTGAACTATAAGCATATATGGATAGGTACTTGGCATGCAGAAGAAATCTGAACTTAAATGTGTACCAACTTAGCATGGTCAGATACAGACCACATACTTAATGAGTCTGACCCTGGCCTTCATGGCAACATTCTGAAGAACCTAATCACAACAGCGTGTTTGTGGCGTCGTTCATGATGGTGAGGATGCTCCTGTGAAAACAATCTGCAAAATCAATGATTTTATTCATCATACCCATGGTAAATCACTCAGGAAGTGACTCCTAACTGCAATGCTTTTCTTTCAGATGTGCCAGGGTTAGTGGTACTTGCTAAGTAAGTGGTAAGTTCCCTGTGCTAAGGATTATAAGGATTATAACAATTATTAGGATTGGTTCTTGAACTTGATGTCCAAATACTTCGTATACAGGTACAGGGTGTTTCAAAAGTTCATACTCATGGGTATTTTGAATTAATTAAATTTCTCAATGAATGAGTGCACCAAAATTAGTACAGAAGTACTAAGAAGGAAATCTGCCTATGAGTTTGGACTTTTGATACACCCTGTAAATGTATACACTTTCATACAACTCAATGAGAAACTTCATAATCTAGTTGGCTTGATGATAGCAATAAATGGTTGATGGGAGAATTTTCAACAATATTCATCAGCAAAAATATGAGGGTCACTCGGAAAGAAATGCACAATAATTTCTTAAATGAAATGTATGTAGTATGCCAGGTCCGATTTAAGATTTTCTGCATAAATTATGAACTTTCCCATAAAAAATTAGCAAGTTTGAGAAATATTTGCTGGGAAACTGAGGCAGGGGACACATTCAAAATGGCTCCCACGCAACAGGCACGTGAGAAGCAGAGAGCAGTAATTGAATTCCTTTGTTGGGAGGATGTAAAGCCTGCAGATATCCACTGCTGTCTAAAAGTTTTTTTTATGGGGACGCCTGCGTTGATGACAACATTGTCAGACGATGGGTGAGTCGCTTCACATCTGGAGAAACAAGTGTTAAAGACAAGGCACAATTGGAACAACCCATCAGTGCCATTTTTGATGAGAGCATCAAGAAAGTGGTTGAATGATAGGCGTATCACCTCGAGTGCCATGCCAATTAATGTTTCAGACCTTGTGTCGTCTCACTACCACCTCTTCGGACCCAGGAATGACAACCACCGAGGACATCACTTTGAGAACAATGAGGATGTGAAGAATGCATTCGAAGGTGGCTTCATCACCAGGGTGGGAGCTTATATTGGGATGGAATTCCTGGCCTTGTAAAATGGTGGGTCAAGTACATTGCCCATAATGGTGACTATGTAAAAAAAATTGGTGGTTCATTGCAAAGTCCTGATGAACACTGTTTGTTAATTTCATGTAATTATCTTCGATACAGAGTGAGAAAAAATATATTTGTGCTTTACTTTCTGAGCGACCCTCGTACAACCAAATCTACCTTTAATATGTTTTTGCAGCTGGGTTGTAAGTGTAATTGACTAAGCAATGACAGAAACAATTATCACCAGCACCCTCTCATGGAATGGCCAATGAAGACAATACAATTCAGAATGTGTGGATCTTGAACCAGGGTGCACATATTTCAACTAGGCACTAACCATACAAGGTTCCCTAATTCCCTTGCAAAAAATTTTCTGTCATAAACTTTACTTCAAAATTAATTACTAATTCAACCCCTACTTTTTGCCATTTCACACCTCTTGAATGACTCTCTGCTGCAAATGCACTATTTACCTTCAATAAAAGTGGGAAGGAGGGAAAAAATGGTCCTTGTCTCACATTGAGAGCATAGGAAGGCATTTGCACCCTCTCAGATTATGTCCATGCTCCTTTCTTCCTGTACATAATTTTCTGGAATGATGTTCCAGCAAAATTCACTATACCTGAAATAACTGTAATATAGAATGTTTTTCCAGCTGAATAAAAAGAAGCTGTCTGGATCACCTTCTTTTCTGTCTTAGGCTGCCCAAGTAACTCATGTCAGATTGGTATACTTAAAGAATTTGAAGGACCAGAAGAATGAAGAATCTGATATTGCAGACATACACAACTGGTCAGAATGGCCCAGTAGTTCAGATAAATAACTTGTGTGAAGAAACTCACATATTTGAAAGTATTGGCTGATAGTATGGCAAGAGTAGCCATAACTTCAACCATACATGTCATTCAAGTTGATGGTAAAAATGAAACTAAGTTGAGCAGAACACAGCATGGCCAATAAAACTTGTTCTCATTGACAGCAAGGGTAACAGCATTCTCTCAGATGCATTCCATCACAAATCATACTGTACATTATGTGAAGACACCATGATGGTTAAAATGCAATTCAGCAAATGACAAAACATCAAACATTCACAGAAACAAATATGTTTAAAACAAGATTCAAGAGAAATTGACCATCAGAAGGTATGATGATAATGCAACAAGTGCACAGACAGATATAGAATAGGAGATGAACTTTTGCAAATATATTGCAGGACATATGAGTTATTGACTGTTGACTGGTCCTACACTCCATTTTGATGGAAGTGCAGTAACAGGAGACAGGGGGAAACTGACACCCAAGACATGCATGGAATGATAACTTGTCCCCCATGCATGGAACATAATATCACAACGCCATTCATGTCCAGCTTTGGTGCTTCAGCGACTTCCTGACTTTGAGTGGGCAATGAGCCACTGCAGTGTGATGTCGATATTGTCCTTCTCCTTGCATGATACAGAGTAACAACAAATTTCCCGATCTTGAATAGCTGACAAATTCCTTCAAGGAAAGAAAATATAATAACCTTAAATGAATGAGGATTTCTGAATTACAATATGAAAAGAGAAAAAGAACTCACATCCTCTCAATGAGACCCTTTTCATCAAGGGCATTGGGGAGATCCCTTTTATTGCCAAGGACCAAAACTGGAATACCAGCAAGCTGAGGTTTATCTAAGAGATTGTGTAGTTCATTCCGGGAAGCCTCAATCTTATCATGGTCAGCTGCATCCACCATGTACCTGGAAGGATTTTTAAATTCAGATCAAAAGCATTGTTTATTACCCTAAGCAAGAATGAGGTAATGGATGCTATCTGATTGACTAATGGGAGATCCTCCCAGAGCTTCCAACTTGGGGTATAGAGTGTACCTAGATAAAGTAGACAAATATTCATCATATCAAAATGGTTGTCCTTTAAACATTAAGACAGGTTGCACAATTAGCAACCAAAAGCATCATTTTCATAATGAAAAAAAAAACAAAACAACATTTCTCTCTTACATTCCATAACTTAGCAGGGAAAAACCTAGAAGAAATAGCCAGCAAGGAAAGCCTATAAATCACTGATTGGCCAAAATTTCAAAACATAAGTTATCTCTTTCTGATCTACTTCAGACATACAAAGAACAACAGACATACATTAAACATATAATCAGACAAAACTTGCATAGTGTTAGTGAAGCTGATATGATCTATAAGTTCATTTGCAAGGATACAAAAAACACTTGAAATCCTTCAAAACAGAATCCTGATTAATTCTTGAATTGAATGCATCAAATATGGCTGCAAGAAATTCAAATTTAATTTTAAAGGACAACCCTTGTATCTTGTGCGTGACTTAGTGGACTTAAAGTCATTGGAATCACTTCATGCTATTATTTGTCTATGCAAGCAAGTAATTTTTCCATTCCTACTCTTGGATGTAATATGGCCTGGGAAAGCCAAATCACTTTCTGAGGAGCACAGACAGAGGCTGCATATGGGGTGAGAACAACATCAATACACCATCAAAGTAGTATTTCAGATTTAGACTTTCTATTGCAATATATTCCACTATAGGTCATTATATACAAGCAGTATTTGAAAGAAATTTGGACACATTTTTTCAATGTGCAGCATGTTAACCCTTTCCACTTGTTTTTTGAGCTGGGTTAACCATCTGTTGTAGTGCTGCAGAAAAAACTGAGTGGAAAGGGTTAACAAACGATATAAATTATGAATTTGTTTTGCTGCACTTCTACCTCTATTCAAGTCCATAGACATCACCAAAGTTTCACAATCATGGCTTGCATCCTTTTGATCTCATTACAACAGGTGGCCAAATTAGAGGACAGAAAGGAGAACTGAGAAATGACATACACCTGCTTGCAAAAATATTTTAAATCAGTTGAGAAGACAAAAATTTATCTGGAAAATAATGTGGCAGGTGCTGGGGTCAACCACATCAATGTAACCAGATTTGGTCTCCCAATGACCTGCTATCACTGGAGATTTTTCACTTGCTCAGTGAAAAGCTTGTCAGCTCTTCTTTTGCTGCTAATGCAGTCTTCAGTCAATCCTATCTGCTTCAAGGGATGAGGAGATTGCTATAGTGAATTCCTGTAGGAGGGCTCACAATTGCCTGCACTATTATCCAAAAAAATCCATCCACCTATCCAGCCGGATTGGATACCATGCTGAGTTGATAGAATGACTACTTACTGTATAGTAGGACAAACCCAATGTGTGGTACTAGTGCAAACACATTTACAGTCAAAATCAACTATAAAATCATGAAAAGAATGAACTGGCACCTACACAATGGCATTGACTCCTCGGCAATACCTCTCCCACATGGATCTGAATCGTGGCTGTCCACCGATGTCCCACACCTTGATTGTCACATTTCCCTTGGTCACCTTCCTCATGTTGAATCCAACTGTTGGGATCATGTCTTCACTGAATTGCCCAGACTATAGAAAGGACAATATGAAATGACAGAATAAGGCAGCCTATACAAGCCTAGCCTTCATATGGATGATTAACTTATGCACCAAGGGCCTGTAGCTGTTCAATATAATCATTAATGATTTGCCTTTTCTTACAAACTTGAAAAGCATTCACTATGCAAATCGCCCTCTGCTTTCATGAGAAATTAAAACCACATGAGACGAAGAATCTCACATATACCTTGTTTTGACTGCTCAATGGTGCCAAATAAATTTAGTGCATCAAAACATGGATTATCATGCAGTTCTGGAAATTACCATTATTCAGATCATATGATCCACATTTCAAAAACTGCTTCTGACAGCCTTCTCTTAGGATTTAAATAGGAAAATTGCATAAACAATAACTACAAATATTGTAAAGCTGCTAGGACTTTCAGACTAATAAATCTGAATGAAAAAAATATCAGATGCAGTGTAGCTCAGACTGTACATTACCTATGTAAAAAAAAATTACACTCCTATTTGAATTCCTTACATTACAGCTAAGCGAATAGCTTGAATGCATTCATAAGAATGCAATAAAAATAATTCTGAGTCCATAAAGAAAACTTATTTCCATCTCAAGAGCACCCTCAACATTTAACCCTAATGTCTCAAAAACATTGTATTATATTTCTGTCTTAAAGTACCTTTCAGACCATGGATTACTGAGAATGTATAAAGAAGTTTGTCTGATCCAAGCCCTCTCAAATTTGGCAATCCTACTACTACTTCCAATAATGCAATAATGCACTGCCTGAAGCATACTCTACAGCAGAAGTAAAAATGCATAATTTATTAATGAATTCATTCACAAGCTACTAATCAGCTACTTTTACAACCCTAGTACCTACAGCTTTATCTCATCATGTTTATCCTTCAGGAAACAATGCACTATCCATACTGATGGCACTGTCATTACTCTTATCCAGAATCAGGCCATTGAGCATCCCTTAAGACTGACTACCGAGACCTCTCTTTTTTATGGTTAAAACAAATTATCATCCTTCCTCTGCTGAAGTAGTATGAAGATTTTGTTACACACAGCTGACACCACTGCATATGCTAAGCAATCCACACAAAATGCAGTCATCCCCTGCACACTGACAAAAAACATCTGTGCCACAATGCATCAGGAATGAATCAAAACAAATGTGTACTTTTTGCTCAAATTTAACCTGTCATGCATGCAAGTTTCTGAACAAGGTGGAATCCACAAAGTTTACATTATACTCATCACCAAAAAAAAAGGACCACGAAGGACACGATTGATCCGGATGAAATTTGGTACACATGTTTGCATTTGCATACCATGACACCAATAGTTTCAACAATGTGGGATGATTATTCACAGAGAAAACTTGCTATATACTGTACTATAATTTCAATATTGGCCACGGGGGCCATACTAATTGTCTGAAATGGTCCTGTAGAAGGCTTTTATTAATTAAACTTTCTGGGAAATATCCTAAGGGCATGCAAAAAAAATGAGTTAAGGTTCAAGGTCCTGAGATGTGGCAATGAAGAGAAAACTTGCCAAATTCTCAAGGAGTGGAGGAAGAGGGCAATGCCATTGGAAGCCCCAGCTTCCTTTTCTCTTTCCCTAAAGCCACTTCACTATGAGGTCATTGTTGAAAGCCTAACTACGAGTGAGGGCCAAGTTGAGATCTTTGGATGTGATTTCAAGAAGAGGTGAAAATGTTTGAAAATGTAAGGAAATTGGGATGATATTACCATGCATTTCAATTAGATTGTAGTCATAGTTGTTGAATAATAGTGCTTTATGTAAAAAACTGAACATGAATTCAATTACTGTAACCTATCACCTAAGTACAAAGTGTAGAACATACATGCATGAATTTAGTCAAGGTAACTCTCTCCAATAGGTTGGCTTTGACTTGTGCTAGGCACTTATTTTCTCTGTTGTTGCATTCAACGTGACACCATGATGCCTTCTAAGGTGGTAAAACAGAAAAAAAAATACAAATGACCAATGGCAGGCTCTTAAAGGGCATTTCTTGGTATTCCTTCATCTTGTGCATACCTAGTTTACATAGACTTTGTCTTATGCACACCAGGCTTTGTGCTGTGTACACTGTTAGGGATGAAGTTAGAGTATACAGTGACCTACATCCATAACTTTAGAAGTGAGTGCAGTTCTCCCAGATGGGAAAGGGAGTAATCATAAGCTGCAGCTGGACTTCTGCACTCAATGCGGAACACACTGCTTGATGTAACAATGAGCAGGTACAGGTTGTGCCTACCTGTACCTGCTCTCCTGCAATCAGGCAGAAGCCCCATTCCTGTAGGATATTGGATGGCTGAAGTGTCATCCTGCAGGTGAGAAGAAAGAAGGTAGTATCCAGATCACATATGGCCATTCTTGGGTGATTCAGAACGATGAAAATCCTGCTTCTGATGCTGCATGGAGATGTTTAAGCTTATATAGGTAGGTGTCAAATAACAGCTTCCCAATCTCAGATGAGATGAAGGTGATATAGTGCAGGGGAAGTGATAGAGGTGAGAGGAATGGCACCCTATATGCAAACCAGTAAATTCCTTTCAGTTCAGGGACCAGTTCCCTTGTGGACCAATGACAGATTTTCCTCAGTTTTAAGAGTTCAACAGTTAACGACGGAGTTAGGTCTTTTGTGTGCGTGAATGTGCAAGAGGGGATTGCCACTGACAGTTGAAACCTGTGCATCATGTGCATAGACATTTGTGTATGCCAAAGTTGGTGAAGTTCACAGATGTTTAAGGCATACCGAAGTCTGATTGGAAGGAAAAAGGCAATTGCAAGGGCAATTGTATCTCTTCTACATGTGGGAGACAAGGTCTACTGGACGTTCATCCTGCTTGCCATTACATTGGGTACATGTATAGCATGTTCTGCATCAAACATGGGAGAGGAGGTTCAGTCCTCATTGGAGATTAGTGTTCACATAAAAAGTTGAGATTCATGTGCTGTGTTCATGGGATTTGACAGTGCACAAGATGAGGGAATGCCCATTTCTCATCATCTCTTGATAAAAAATTCATCTACAAAAGCCAACACATGAGCATCACAGATATATAAGTCAAACCTATAGTAGAAAGAGCAATAAAAACCCTATGACATACATATATGTCATACCAGCTTAACCCAAATACCTCCCATGAGGATAACCTCAATGGGCCTATTGCAATAAACTAATCCACAATACAAAAAGTCTGCATCCTCAAATTTATACTTGCCACCTTCTACAATGCCCATTCCATTGAGAACATAAACCTCCAAAGCAGGGAGTTTTCATTCCACAGGTTTCCCACTAATGGGGAATTTTTTTTCAGTAAAGTAGAACTAGTAACTGTTAGTAGCAAATGTTTTGAACAAATTTTCAGTTAAAATTCATATTGTTCTTTTATAGTTGAATGTTATTGGTACAGATAAGTTGTAACAGAAATATGTGGAATAGGATGGATACATCTGTCATACCTGCCTAAGAGGTTAAAACAATATCATTTTCATCTACTTCATCTGCAGCTATTCGCTGTCTGGATTCAAAACATCTGAGGGTGCTTTACACCTCCCTTCCCCTCCTCCACCAGAGATACTGTCTCCCAACCCTAAGTGCTATGTCAAATAAGGATTGCCTTGGCTGCCAATAAATTTGATTCTTGAGAAGTGTATCTACCACTTACTATGAATCCAATCTGTGCTCAACCAGAGATCTTCTCAATCAAATGCAACTGGCTCTCCATGTCCAGTGGCTAATCGTGAAATTCTATTACCACCCAATAAAATCCATATTATATAGCCAAAAAGGCAAGATACACTCATCTTGCCTTTGGAGGGATTTCTTGGAGGGATGCCCTCCAAGATTCATTCCACAAACTTATCCATAGTCATCTCAAAAATAATGACAATAACATTCTCTCCTCCCCTTCAACTTGACTAGTATTATTTTGATGTGCTTCTCTATTTTTTATTTCAAAAGTTCATACTCCTGCTCTTGGAACTCCAATGGAAAAAACTGAATAACAATATCCTTTCACATATTGTATATTGGGTAGCCACTACCTCCAATGCACCTTCTCTGCATATCCCCTCTATTTACTTCTCCCAGTTAGATATGACAGTTCCTTTAATCCTATATAACCACTGTCCAACTTGACTAGGGAGAAAACTGTTAGGGTTTCCTATGAAGAGATAGTGATACATTTGGATCATGTGTCTATGTGTAAAAGGTGTCTATACTAGATTTTGTCCAATACTAGTGATTTCAATTTTGAACTTCCCTTATGGCAAAACCAGAGTTACCATTTAGTGCCATATCTCATATCGCCTAGAGCAGCGATTCCCAGACTTCTTTGAATCACAACTCACTTACTGATGTGCAAAAAATTTATGACCCATGCATGCGAGCAGATGCACTTGCCACCAATCACCACCACCACTACCATCACGAACCCACAGTAGATTTTATTATGTAGATTATGACGTGAAGAAAACTGATTGACCTTTCCTGCAGGGCATGTTTTATCCTGAGCGAATGCAGATATAATGATTTTTTTCATACTGGGAAAATGTACACGACTCACCTTGATGCCTCTTGAGACCCAAAGTTTGGGAACTGCTGACCTAGAGCAAGGATAAGGTCAAGTGGACCCTTAAGAGTGCCCAACAGACCCATGCAGAGCCTGAGTAGTGGACCATGAGAGCTGGCAATACTATGAATTCCATGAAGTGACACAATGCTAAAGTTAGGAGTGCTGTTTTGGACAGGTTTTTTTCTTTTGTTTCAACAGAACTCTGGCATACTTCAATTTTATTTGCAGGTTCCTGATACTGATACTAAGCACCTCAAATCTTAACATGGAGCTCTATCTTCTTGTTGCTTGAAACAACTTATCATAGGGAAAGCAAGACCTTCATGCATTACACAATGCTTATGAAAATTTTGAGGCCATTCTTTGTAGCCTGTCACAACTTTTGGAGAAAAATGAAATAGGTTTCGTTGGAGTTGGAGCAAGAGAATGATTGTAGAAGAAATGCATAGACAACTTAATTCATCATGTATGCTCAGGAGTTACTGGGAAGCATGAAACTTCAGTGTATCAGATGATTTAGAGCAAGTTTCTGGGAATCTATGGACTATGACTTTAGCCACGCTTTTGAAAACTCACCTGGGCTAGGTTGAGTTTTGAATACATTCTTCGGCAAAAAAATAGTTTTTTACTACAACCACACCAGAAGACATGGTTCACAGATGAGTATCCAATGACCACATAGAGAATGAGTATAAATGCAAGAAATGAAGGGAAATCACATATGGAAGTTGCTACAAGGTAAGAGCATACTTGAGCATCCCACTTCTCACTACAAGTTTTTCCCTTTTCTTTCCCCTTTCAACTTCTTTTACAATCAATTTGCATGATCGACTTCACACACCTGACCACCATATTATAATAGGTAATTGTTAGGCATACATGATATCCAGGATCTCACTGTGAAGCCTAACGTTAAGTATAAATCAGTCATCGGTATATTTAACATTCAGTTCCTCGCAGGAATGGGCGCATGCTTATGATGTGATATAAGCACTCACGGCAATGACGTTCACGAATGTGGTTTTGCCTGAGTACTGAAGGCCAACAAGTGTCAGCTCCATCTCTTCTTTCCAGAAGAGGCTTCGAAACCAATCCAGGATGCGATTGATCAACGACAGCATGATGAAAACTTCTAAAAAGTGCGAAGTCAGGCTCCTGTACTCTACGAATTAGATATACCTGGAATAGAAACCAACAATCACATCCATAAACTTAGAAAGTAGCCTATTTGAGAGAAGCAATATCTGATAAGAAAAATGTTATTCCCGACTACACGCCCATTTTCGCGGATGGTCAGTGCACACATGGTGAACACGTGTGACGCCATCATGTGAGCGACGTCGATTCGCTTCCGTATCGAAAATCGCCCACGACGACAAAGATTGTGCCTCTGGATTGTATTGAGTGCTACGTATAAGTATTTTCTGCAAAAAAAAAACTAGCCAATACTTTATCGCAATTACATGCGTATGGTGAGAGTATGCTTGAGGAAAAAGCAAGGTCAGATTTAAATTGCCTCTCGAACAACGGCGCAGGTTCAAGGTTTTGGATGGGACATCAAGACATTTCTTCCCCTGTGACAAGCCGAGTCGAGGTCGAGCAATCGCCAAAATCTCTGCTCATCCTTATCCCCCCCCCCCCCCCCTCCCTTCTAATATAGGCCTATCATCAATATAATAAGGGGCCGTTCACAAATTACGTAACGTGATTTTAACAACTTTTTTGACCTCCCCCTCCCCCCTGTAACACTCCGTAACAAAAGCTTCGACCCCCCCCTCCCCCTCCAAAAAAATTGTGACAAACTATGACCCCCTCTCTATAATTTTTTTAAAATAATAAGATAAATAAACAAGTTGAATGCATTCGAAAAGGTAACTCTTTTATTCAACACTCTTAACACTCGATTACACACAGTGATGATTAAAATGTTTTAAAAAAGGAAAGGGAACGTATTTTCTTTCATTCGGCTTCTTCTTCAAGGAAATAATTTCCCTTTGTCCATGTTCATTTTGATTGATGGTGATCACCCATTTGAGCTAAAAATAAAAAATAATAATAAATAAATAAATAAAAAAGAGTAGAAGGAGACGGGGAAATGTATGGTATATAGAATGGTAGAAATAGACATCGCGATGCCGAGAGAGAAACGAACGAGGGCAACGTCCAAAGGGTAACTGAGCCTGTTTGGCCTGTCTGGGCAGGTCCAGGCATGAAATTGCGACTTAGCGAGTTTTGCAACATAGGAGAGGGAAGTCAACAGACTTTCCCACGCTCCCAATGCCCACTCCACTGTTAGTTCTGGTGGGTGCGGATGGGTAATAGGGTTGGCTCTTGTGTCGTGTGAGTGACTTGTTTCTAAACAATTACCCTTCTAATAAGAAATTCCAGTCTATAATTTATTTATTTTTTTAATGAAAAAACCTGTTATGTGACATTCGTGCAACCCATAACAAATCGTAACACTTTGTCTGATCCGTAAATTTTGTAACGCAAGGGAAGGAGGGGGGGCTTCCTTCCCTTGCGTTACGAAATTTGTGAATGGCCCCTAAGATGGACAGACTTGGTTTTACCAGGACGGTCCCGGTGTTCACGTTTTGGACTTACATGTAGTGGTACAATTTCCCTGCTACTGTTTCCAGTTCTTCCCTCCATGCTCGGCATGAATTGAAAGTGGCAGAGGAGGACATTCTTACGGAAGATGCCCAGGCTTTTTCTGGAGAAAACCAAGTTACCCTGTTCCGTAAAGATGAGCAATTTTGTGGAAACGTGTTCACTTGTTTAGTTACTGCTATATCCCTTTTATATCCCTAGTCCCTTTTTCGCATTCTAGGTTGGGAACGGAGCAGGTTAAAAAAGCATATACAACCGATTTAGGTTGGTTTTTGCGTCGTCTCATATTGAAACCCCCTGACTAGGCTTACTGAAGAACTTTTAGAAAATTCATCATTACTTATTAAATGTTGTGGTTTTCAAACGGGTGAACATTTAATGCATATTTGGGCATTTTTTCTACATATTTATGAGAAGATCTCAGCACTGATTATCACATAAAAATCCGCTCCCTAATCATGACGTGTGAGAATTTTTAGCCACGTGGACCTGTTCTAGTTCTAAAAGCATTTGGTTTGACAGCTATGACATCCCTTATGATGGAAGTTTCTCTGGAAATAGAGCAACGGTGCGTGGTTTGTTACAGTCTGGAGTGGGATGCTTGCGACATTGCTTGCGTCACATTTACTGAAGTGAACGTTGTACTTGCATGTAGCAGTTCTATCTGCCACTACGTCGATCACTGCGAGACAAAAGACTGGAACTCTTCAAGAGATGTGGTTCCTGCATCACGACAGTACTCACCCACAATTCGCTGAAGTAATGTAAAACACCAAAGCTGCAATTGTAGCTAAAACCTTACCATTTCCTCCTTACTCCTCTGACCTGTGACTTTTTTGTTCTTTCTCAAACTAACGATCAAGCTGAAAGGAAGCCGATTCAGCACTGCAACAGAGCTCAAAGCAGCCGTAAAAAAGTTTTGTTGCATGTCGGAGAATGTCACGTAAAACGCATGTGACCCATGGGTACTTCGTTGGGGAAATGCATTGCCTTATAGCAGTGGGGTCAAATCAGCACAGCCATTTACATCACCCCCTCCGATTTCCATTTGAAATTTGCTGAACTTGTAAGGGCTATTGAAAACCCATCCCATGACAAAATGCAACTCTCTACCTCAAGTACTTCCAGAGATGTAGCAATTTGAAAGAGGCCAAAAAGGGACCAATTTTGGGTCAAGTTGTCATCGCTTAAGTGCGCATAACTTTTGTTATAATACACATAGAAAGTTTGTATTGGTGTCATTTCAAAGGTCTCTTCATGTCCTTTCAAATGATGTTACTTAAGGACCTTAAGTAAAAATAAAGGTCGACGGTCAAAGGATCTGACCTTTGACCTTTAATTACAGGAAAAATTCATTTTTATTTCCTTCTAAAAATTACCATACTGTTGCCAATTCCTTCTGCATTACTGCTCAAAATTTAAACTTGGGACTGCCATGGGATCGAGAAATACAAGCAATAATGTGGCAGCAAGTGACCAAAATTCTGAAGAGAATGAAATGTACTAGAAATATCTGGATACATCCAGTTTCAGCAAAATTTAGTCAGAATAGAGCTGTCTGAACTACCAGGAGTATTCTAGAAAGTTATTGAAGTGTTCGAAGCGTCCAGAAAAAAAAAGGTGGAACGTTCTGGAAAGTTTTAGAGGTATTCCAAAATTGCAAAATTTCACCAAAAATTTTTTTGAAAGTGCACTCTCCTTATGTTATTTAGAGGCTCCCTCAGCATTGATGTCCAATTTTCAAGTTGTGATGTTATGTGCTATTTCTCCTCATTGTCCCTGATTGGGAAATGAGAGAGATGGATGAACCGCAGTGGACGATTTCCTGTTGCAACTCATTCAGCAAAGCAAAATATTCATCCAGGAAGAATCTGAGGCCAGTCTTGCCACGGATGTGCGACAAACTCCCTTCTCTTTGACTTGGAGCCAAGATATGTGATGATTGCCGGAATAAAATTTCCCGAATATCGGAATTATTAGGAACTGAGTCGAGTACATCATTATCCATGTCAAGTCAATAAGAGCCTAGTCCAAGGAACCATAGTAACGTGGTTGATAAGGTCTCCTATGAGCAAAATAGGACGCTAGAATTAATCAAAGTTTGAATTCGATTGAGAGTCTCCTATTATCATAAGCTTACACAGCGAGATATCTAGAGAAGTTGAAGATTGGGGGGTGTTCTGAAGAGGAAGTTACTCTATGTGGAATGAGATGACAGAGGTGATGATCAAAGGCTAACAGAAAATGAAATCATTACCCAATTGAAAGAAAAATTCCGAGCGTCCACAGAGAGAAGTGAGAACGTACATGTCCTGACAGTACTTCCACGAAGTTGGAGTATTCGGAAAAACCAACATGAGTTCGGCGCATCTTGACTTCCTGAAGGATTAATTTGGTTCTCTTCCTCAAAAAATCACCTACTTCTCTGATGGATCTGCTTCGTACTACAAAAATCTGAAAATTTTCCTCAACCTGTGCCATCATGAGCCAGGCTTCGGTTTTCCAAATGAGAGGCACTTCTCAGCCATGGAAAAGGAGCGTTTGACGGAGTTGGAGGGACAGTAAAGAGGTTGGCTTCAAGTGCCAGTCTCCAACAACCATGCAACCAACAGGTAATGACGCTTCACCAACTGTTCTAATTGGCAACTGGGAATATCCCAATAATTTTTTTTTTAAGTATTGCAGTTTGGAAGACTTAAGGAGAGAGGCTAAGTTCCTAGAAAAAAAAAAGATTTTTGCCATCACCCACGATTCCTGGAACACAAAAGCTTCATTCTTTCATTCCATCGAGGAAGAAAAAGCTGCCACCAAAGCGTATTACTATTATCTGTTTCAAATGTAGAGAAAGTCACTGTCCTGCGAAATGATCTTGGAACTGGAAAGCTTCAGTCGTGAATAACGGGGTGTCCTTCAACTTCGTCCAGTTTTTGTTTAAATTGCGCTTTTTTAAATGAATAGTTGTCAGCTAACTGTCACTGGTATTTTTGCTTTTAGGCAATTGTATGGGGGTTTTCATGTACTTTCTATCACTCTACTGTTTGTATCTCCTGATCCCATAGCAGTCCCAAGTTGAAATTTTGAGCAGTAATGCAGAAGGAATTGGCAATACTATGGCAATTTTTAGAAGGAAATAAAAATGACTTTTCCCTGTAATTAAAGGTCAAATGTCAGATCCTTTGGCCGTTGACCTTTATTTTTATTTAAGGTCCTTGAGTGATATATCATTTGAAAGGACACAAAGAGACCTTTAAAATGACGCCAATACCAACTTTCTATGTGTATTATAACAAAAGTTATGCGCACTTAAGCGATGACAACTTGTCCCAAAATTGGTCACTTTTTGCCACTTTCAAATTGCTATATCTCTGGAAATACTTCAGGTAGAGAGTTGCAATTTGTCATGGGATGGGTTTTCAATAGCCCTTACAAGTTCAGCAAATTTAATAGAAATTGGAGGGGGTCAGGTCAATTTTATTGTGTGTTGATTTGACATGGGATGACCCAGTGGCGTATTTTGCGGTTGCGGCGGCGACGACGGCGGCGGGGGGGGGGGCAGCCGCTCCCCCTGGCGCCCCCTTGTAGGTAATAATTTTCCCACTTGATATCGCTCGGGAGAGGTTAAGCGCCCCCGCTCTGTTTGCCCTGCCCCCCTGGCCCTTCAAGCAAATTACTCCACTGCCTTCTAGAAGGATCATGATGAAAAGTGCAGGTTCACCAAGGCCCGGACATTTAAGGTAAGGTTGCCGTGAATTCGAACTTAACAATCAAAGGGCACCAATTAAACGCCGTTTAACATACAATAAATTGCATGCACAATTGCCAAGTAAATTAGATCATGGCACCATTGGGAATAGATGGTTAAAATTGATCAAGTAACTGCAAAATTTTAAACGCATAATCAGATATTTTGCGTCGTGTCTGTTAAGCTGATCTTGCCGTTATTCAAGATAAGTTCATTGACGAGGCTCGAAGAATTCTTGAAGCTTGCGGTTCCAAGTGGCCGCTTGGTAGTTCCAAATATCCACCTACAGAAAGAATAGGAAAGGAGAGAGAAGGCAACTCTGGGGGAGTCCAAAACGTATCGAGTACGAGTCCGAACTCTTCACACTCACTTCAACGCAACTCCTGTAATCGCTGGATAAAGATTGAATGGCCGTAGTGACCATAGATCCTATACTCTCGCTGTATTCCCCACAGCTTCCCGCGAAGCATACTATGTATCAATACTCCTTTTTGAAATCCACAAAGCACATGTAAACCGCTTAGGCATGCTCCCTCTCCAGTGCCACTCAAGAATCCGGTGGAGAGTGAAGGGCTGGTCCGTGGTGCTAAAAGCATTAATTTCGTCCTGTTTCTTGGCCTCTGCTCTGCATTGCCATCGTGCCACTGAGTTTCAGCTGGCCTGAACATTTACATCATAATAGGATTAGATTCCCAGATCCACACTAATGACTATCACATATTCACAAAATAATGTAATAAATAAAAGACAAAATTTCCAGTTGAAAACGGGGAGACGATGTCGAGCAAGCATACCCACAGAAATGACGCATGGGCATGCAGAATGGGGCATTATCGATCGTGCTCCCGAATAAATGGCTGTGTCTTATTATTAGTGGGCAGAATAAAATAGGAATAAGAAATCCGTCTCTTTTTGTTGCACTTAGAACAAATAATTTCGACCCATTCATGCACATTCCACCACATGACAATGGGACCTTGGAAGATTCGAGAAAAGATTGATAGTTGCCTTCTGGGTGCATTGGATACAAATTAATAGAAAGTGGAGACCCAAGTACTGTAATACGTAGGGCGGTGGACCACCACCCATGTGGAAGACTACATGCCCCATGCCAGGCTTGTTGCCACTTTCCTGCCTTCTGGGTCGCCAGGGGGCCGACACATTCATTAGATGCAGTATCCTTCAGGTGACCCGCCGGCTGATCTGGTATTCCAGCTGCCACATTGTCGCCTCCGCTAGGAAATCGCCACGATAGCGCTTTGACCGCCTCCGTACTATACTGGCGCCCAAAAGAAACGTTACAAGGTAATGTAGGGCACTCCCGCTATTGTAGGAGCTGTGATAGCATTATATCTGTCCTTTGCTGAACACATCAACACCACTTGAACATTATTAGCATTTGCTCGCTCACCTTTGAGCACTGTGCACGTGCCACGTCAAGAAAATGCTTAATTATGTTTTCTCCATGCCGTATGTAAAGTTCAGATTTCCATTGGCAAAAAAATGGGCTGATTCCTTTGTACATGTCATACCGTCTCCGAAAAAGATCTGAGATATGCCAAAGCTAACGCAGCAACAAAAGGACGGGGCGATGAAAATGCTCCAAGAGGGTGTAGCGAAACAGGAAGTCGCGCGGCGATTCGGATGGGCTCGCGTGTCCTATACCTAAGGTGACCAGACGTCCCGATTTAGGCGGGACAGTCCCACTTTCGGACCACATGTCCCGGTGTCCCCCGATGAAGTAAGCGGGACGCCCAAATATCTCGCTTTTGGAAAATGTCGAAGACAGAATGACATGACGGTCGAATTGCAAGTTTCAAAGCTTCTCCTAAACAATATCGCATCGAGCTAAACCTATTGAATATCATGATTATGACCTCGAGTCTTTTTTTTTATTATCTAAGACAACTGCGTAGACATAAGTAGGCAATGCGAATTCGGATTACCGAAGAGCAAAGGAGCCTAAAAACATGCTAACCCTTGCTGGCAGGCACTTGCTCGTTCACACTGCAGACAGTGAGGCCGGCCTCCTTGCTCTCTCTTTTATTTTACGTGAGCAAAGTGATACCATTATAGTTGTCTGAGTCAGCGGAAGCCTCCAGGCTCTATCTTCCCATCCGTGATTCTGGACAGGAGTCAACTTTCAGAGACCGGTCTTGGATCGTTTTGCGTCAATTGAGAATGAATCTGCAATAAAGTGAAAATGTCACGGAAGTGCTTTGCACATGTGACGCTGCTGAAATTTTTTCGGAATACGGAAGGACCACGATTGTCGATGAAAGTCATGAATAACGTACAGGTTAATGAATTTCCAGTTGCATGTCTGCGCTGTGAAATCTGGGCTGAATCCCGAAATTAACTCTGTTTATCTTCAGCTTTGTTTCAAATGTCGAATGCGCTTGTATTATTTACCAGCGAGTATGTTTGCTTGAAGGGCAAACAAACTCGCTATGGTTGGGCCTTCATCATCTAGTATAGTGATTAAATCATTAGTACATTTTTTCGAAATCATTACTCCCATGATTTCTTGGGTGCCTAATTTCAAATCTCTTTATGTGCCCCTTTTTGTCGGAGCGGAAAATAAGTATTGAAGTACTTCCCTCCCATAGTCTGCCCTTAGGGGACATATTTCAAAAGTAGGATTTTCTCTTTACAATTGTCAGTCCTACAAATACATTCATATTCTTATTTAAGAGGCAAGGGGAAGTACTTGTTGGGCGTCCCACTTTCGCGACACAGAAATCTGGTCACCTCACCTATACCGGGTTCAATCAGCGCTTCAAAACTAGCAGAAAAACTTGACTTTGATAATTGCTACATCTCTCAACGTCAAGTGTTCTGCTAGCTCGTTCTAGGAAGGTCCAAGAGGGTGTAACGCCTATTGCGTTACATCCTGTTGGAGAATTTTAATTGCCCGGTCCCTTTGTTGCTACGTCAGCCTTGGCATATCTCAGATGTTTTTTGGGGACGGTATGACATGCACAAAGGAATCAGCCCATTTTTTGCCTATGGAAATCTGAACTTCTACATACGGCATGGAGAAAACTTAATTAAGCATTTTCCTGACGTGGCACGTGCACAACGCTCAAAGGTGAGCGAGAAAACGCTAATAATGTTCAAGTGGTGTTGATGTGTTCAGCAAAGGACAGATATAATGCTATCACAACTCCTACTACGCGAGCAAGTCCTAAATTACATTGTAACGTTTCTTTTGGACGCTAGCATATTTTGTAATAAAAGACTGAACAGTATAACCTAACGAAATGTATTAACGTGAAGGGAAAGAGTTAGGGAATAAAAGGGAGATGAAAGTGAACAACCCGGAGAATCATGGAGGAATGGAGATATTCGGGTATGAGAGAACGAGATTTCTACCAATTCATGCCTGTCACGGTCTGAGAGCGAGAGCTTTCTCTCCTTTCACTGGTTGATTAGATGGCGGCGCGCTGGAGCCCATGTGGCCAGTTGCCACGATGGCAGGAGGCGTGAATAATCACGCCCTACGCGTCCTCATCCTTTGCGTACTGTGGTACATTGTCAGCTCCAGCAACAATGTGATCGGAAAAACCCTTCTCATGAGATTCAGTTACCCAATGACTGTCACCATGGTGCAATTAGTGTCCATCACCGTGTATTCCGGACCCCTTTTCAAGTTGTGGGGGGTTAGGACGCGTATGGAATACGGTAGTAAATATTGGTGGAGAGTGATCATTCCACTCGCCTTCGGCAAATTTGTTGCATCCGTCTCCGCACACGTCAGCTTATGGAAGGTTTCGGTTTCTTATTCTCATACAGGTGAGGAATTCTGCTGGTCTGCCTGTGTCATAAGCATCAGACCTAATCCTGAGGCTTTGTTGGCCAAGGCTTGACTTATTCTTTAGATATTATGAAGGGATCCAATTAGGATGGCTTAAAGATATTGATATAATGTATTTTGTCCAGATTGGAAAAACTTTTGATGATAAAATAAATGCATTCATCCTGTACATTATCTAGAAGGAATCCTTAATGAGAGATTTGGCAAATCTGTATCATGCCAAAATGTAAAAAATTTGTAGATTAGCTCTGGAGAAATACTGCAATATCCAGAAAAGGTGGCAGCAGGTTGTAAGGTAGCTGGTTTTTGGTTAGAGATGAATTTTTTTTAAAGATTCTACAATGGGTAGGGGATCTTACCATGGGGGAAAGAGCATTCCAATCAGCAATCATATGGGAGAATAAACTGCTTAAATTATACAAATCCTAGCATGAATGTATGCAGAGACCAGCTCTGCATGCCATTTCTTGCTCAGTTATTTTTAGTCAACCATATCTGAGCATCAAGTAACAGTGTGCTGTGAATGATTTTGTAGAATGTAATGAACTTGGCATTCTTAAGACTATTAACCAGGATTTGCTGATCCAATTTCTTGCACAAGAGCACTAGAGTGAGTTTCCCAATTGTTGCCCATTTCCAAAGGGTCTCACACTTCAGCAGCTTATTCCAAGATGGGTCAATCCAGAGACACATGGTGTTGTCCTGGCTCCCTTGGGAGTGTTTCTAAGGTTGCGTTTAAGCAAACACAGAACTCTATTGGCTTTGGCCACAATGGTGTTAATATGCTCTTCCCAATTCAGAAATTTATATAGAAATGTCCTTGTTTATTAAGATCTTGTTGGAGGGCTTCATGGTTTAGTCAACTTTAGTGGGAATCCAATGATAGATGATGCAATCATCAGCAATCAGGTAGATTTCAGAGCCTATTGTTTTAATGATATCATTGATGAATAATGTAAATAGTTGTGACCCCAGAACTGACCCTTGTGGACCCCCTGACTTTACTGGTACCCATTTGGAGATGATCCCATTACTGGGATTTGTGGAATTAGGAAGCCCATAGTGTGGTTTGATATTAAAAAATATGAGCCCAACAAATCTCATTGTCAAAGATTTACTAATGTATATATATATATTCAATATTGTCAAGAATGGACAGGGACTGAACACCATGATAGTCATTTCTGAGCTCTGAAATATAGGTTGTTTGGCTAGGCCTACTTGAAGTCACTGGTGATCAAGGTGTATATGGTATATATTTTAAGAAATGAACACCATGTCATGCATATACTTATTGTACTACAAACGTGGAAGATGTCGTTACCTGCAGTCAATAGAAGTGTTCCGTGGGGGGGCTTATGAATTTAATCTGAAAGTGTACAATGTACACGTGAATGTAACATTAGCCAAGAAAAATTTCATTTTGGAGTATATGTTAATAAGGAGTCTATGTTAAACTCAGGTGAGCTTCATGTTGGGTTCATAATGAGGTAACCAAAAAATGAAACTACTGCAAAGGTATTCCTGCTGATCATGTTATCAGTGGACTGAATGCACCTCTCATATATGACTGGTTTTACATATATGCATGTGTCTGGCCTTCCCTTGAATAAGCATCAAGAAAGTCGTGTCCTAGTCAGATAACAGAGTCATGATGACCTCAGCCCTTCAGTGCCCTTCTGTGACATGCAAAGTGCTGAGTCAAACAACTGTTTTCCTGTCTGGGGAAGGATCACTTCAATTTTTAGTGTAGATAGGATGGTATGAAACGGAAGTCATTGATGTGCAGCACTATGGGTATTACCAGAGAACCTTGCAAAATCAATATGCAACGTGTCATTTTGCAAAGAGCTCTCACTTATAAGTTGCTAAAGGTAAGTAAGACATCAAGGAATCTCATTAAGGAGTAATTCTGTATATCTGATACATTGGTAGTGTTTTAACTCAGACCCATTCATATTTTGCCAAGCAGGTACATCATGCTGATGGTGCTTCCTCAACTGATGTCAAATTACGACTTCTTGAAACATTAAACAAATCTGAGCCACCAGAAATGGGTGTGGCTTGGTTTCCTGTCTCAAAACTCTTCTATAGATTCAAAGGAGGAGAGCTTGACTGGAAATATGTACTTGGTTTAGTTTCACTTTGCATTCTATGGGTTGCCATCAGTACAGCCATGAATGTCATAAACAAGGTTGTTCTCATGCGTCTCCCATATCCAGTGACAGTGGCTGGTGTCCAACTACTTTCAATAGTTGTTTTCAATTTTTCATTTGTCACATCCTGTAACCTTTCAAGTGACAAGGAACAATATATTTCATGGAAGTACCATTGCATGTTTATCATTCCTCTTGCCTTTGGGAAGTTTGTGACTTCAGTTGCTTCACATTTTGGATTGTGGAAAATCTCACTTTCATATATGCAAACAGGTGGGTGATGTGGAAAAATGTGACTTGCATCGCTTTTGTAAGTGTTGTGGTATTAGTATCTATTGCTTATAAACCTCTCTGTTTGCTACTTGAAATTATCTGGGAAGAGACCTAAAAATAAATAAAATGTTCAATATAGAACTTTCCAATAGGCCTTTTTGATTTTGCAATCACCTCACCTCACTAAAGATGCATGGCATTCTTAGTGAGTTGAGGTTACCATAGGATCCTCTGAGGCTAGAATTATGTAAGTTCAAGCTGCCTGTTTCAAGTAAAACTTAGGTGAAATATTTGCTGGAAATATTCATCATATTGAAAATTTGAAATTTAAAATTCTAAAAGCAGGAACTAGGAAGTAGTGGGATCAGGAATCAACATCTTTGTATTTACTCCCCTCAAGCATGAGCCAAAAGAGAAGTCAATTTCTTATCATGCGAACATTGCCAACAGGCATCACTTATGATGGATTGTTTCTTTATACTCCAGGTCAAGTTGTAAAGTTGATGATTTGCATTTGCATGTTGGTTGCTCATCAGGGTAAATGAAAAAGGAACATGAAGGTTTACAGGTTTTGATGATTTAAAGTTTTCACTGTATATAGGGTGATTCAAAATAAGTGCACTATTGTTTTTAAATGAGAGAAAGATTGCTGCCAATATGCAACTAACAATAAGTTAGGTGAGCAATTGGCCTTAGGATGAGGATTAGGTTTTTGTCAATATTCCTGTCTGAGCTATGCAATAATCCCTTCTCCTATTTGGCATGGGGATATAAATGTAGCATCTAGTTGTCTGTGAGGAATTACCTCATGGCCATGAACAATTTTTTTCTTCAGTAATATTTCTTCATTGCATCTATAACATAAAGTCCCTCCCAGCCATTTGAATTTTGTGCTGCAGGAAATGCCATTTGGCTTTAAGGAAGATGACCATCTGCACTTGATACTGTAAAAAAAAAAGAAGGTAGCTCCAGGTTAAATTAGAAGAGACAAATTTAAGATGAAGTTAAGGTACCCAAAACATCCATCCTAACTGTTATGTAGGTAACAAAGCATGTTTTGCCTTAGTTTGCTTCACTCCTTGCAAAAGGAGAAAATTAGTCTGTAATATGCAATATATCTTCTATTAAGTGCTTACAAAGTAAAGTTTCTGTACTTGACTCTTAGCTGATTTTTCCCAGTTAAATCAGGTGTTAACCCCTTGAACACACATGATGCACCCATATGCATCATGGAGGAATCATGCAACCGATACACATGACACTCACTGGTTGCTCATGGGAGGAAACAGTCTCATGAGAGGAAGCAAAGTCAGTAGTAATAGCATTCAAGTAGAGAACTTTAGCAAAAACAAAATATTATTTTATTTAATGCAAAATTCTGCCATATGATGGCAGGTAATTGTGCAATACCTGGTATGTTCAAGGGGTTAAAGGGGATGTTCAGATATGCCCATACTGCAAATGTTGGTATGAATCATTATTCATGTCTTTTTTTCAGTCAAGGCATCTATGCCTCTCTTCACTGTGATTCTCACCAGAGTCCTGTTTGGAGAAATTCAACCCAGATCTGTAAGTTCTTTCATAAATCTTGGTGTTCACTATGATTGTTATCCCTAGAATTGAACTTAAATTTTGCCATGTGGCATTTTGCCTCAAAACCCATACTATGCTCTCTTTTTGTAGGTGTACTTATCTCTGGCTCCTATAATCTTTGGTGTTGTGATTGCCACTGTCACAGAGATATCTTTTGACACGGTGGGTCTCATCAGTGCCATCATTGCAACTATTGGCTTCTCTCTTCAGAACATATTTTCAAAAAAGGTGATTTTTTTTGCTTATTAGCCTTTCTGGCTTACACTCATGAAAAGCTTTAGGTATGAGGAGTAGTCAATAAGTTTTGAGAATGAATATTACTACCCTCCAAAAGTCTTGCAACACTTTTTCATGGGCAAAATTCTTAGCACCTACAGTATCATTGGTGAAAATTTTTATATCCTCAGCTTAATCTTAAACCTTTGGAAAGTGCTCACTCATGTCATGATTTGTGTCGTCGTTTGTCTGAAATTTTACTCAGAATCTGTCTGGTCTGGTTTTTCAGTGCAGAATTATTAAAATCCACCCCTAACTGATTATTGGAACGTCTACATCTCCTCTTGCATGCCATGTGAGAAGCATGTTTTCTCTATGCATCACAAGGAAAAGACTCCTGTCACAGTCCTCCACAACCCTTGGCAGTTTTTTCATGCTACAAAGTTTTGCTACCTGTGGCATCAAAAGAGGAAAAAAAAGTTATTTGGATAACTTATTCTCATAGCTGTACAAAGCAACCTTTACCATCAGGGTTTCAGCTACCGTATCTCCAAAATTTTCATGAATGCAATCTGGTTTGGAATTACCACTTGGAAAAATGGCAGAAACATCACCCTGTCTCCATTGCTATTCCTGGCAAGCTTGAGGAGTAAGCACGGCATCTTAGAACACTGGAGAGTCGTTTCCCTTCATTTTGAAACTGCCTGGCCATTTTGGCCATTTCTCCCCATCTTGGCATCAATTTCTTAGCTGTGAGTATGACTCTTGATCATTACCTGCAAACTGAGTAGTAACCGAGAGTAGATACTATAATTTTGTATTATGAAAAAACTGGCAAGGGTTGTGGAGGACACTGACAGGAGTCTTTTCCTTAAGGTGCATAGAAAAAATGTGCTTTGCGCATGGTGTGCAAGAGGAGAAGCAGGCTTTCCAACAATCATTTGGAGACAGATTTTAATAGTTCCACACTGAAAAACCAAACCAGATGGATTCTGAGTCAAATTTTGGAACAAATGATGACGCAAATCATGACATGAGTGGGTGCTTTCCAAAGGTAACAGATTAAAGTTGTTGTCTGAGAGTATAAAAATGTTCTTGATGATGCTATAGGTGCTGAGAATTTTGCTCATGAAAAAGTGTTTTGGAGGGCAGTATACTAAGAACATTCAAAGTTTGGTTTATTTTAAAGCCACATCTAGTTGTGCTAATAATATATTCTTACCTTCTAATCATGTGTCATTATATTAGTTTTGTTTCAGATTTCACACATGAGGAATATTGAGAAAACTTAGCATTGCAGTGTCACAATTTTTGTTCCTTAGGAGGCAATAGCATAAACTAAATTTACAAACTCCTGGTGACTATCTGTGGGCATTTCCTTGTTACTCCTCAGTGGCAAGATCATTACCCTGATCTTCTCTTTGCAGTAAATAGCAGTAAATCACCTATGGTTCCTGACTTTTTGGACACCTTGTAGTTATAAGTTTCTGATTCTCTTCAATCCTAATGCAGCAAACTTTCATTCTAATGACTGGAGATGAAACTTGGATTCACCACTGCCTTCCAGTAACCAAGTTTGAGTTCATTAAACTAGGGCTTTCCCTTCCAAACAAATTCCACACATTGCCATCAGCTGGTCACATTTTTTAAATATTCAAAGTGACTTTGATAATTGGCAACATGCTTCACAAAACCATGGGGGCACAAAAGGGCCCCCAACCTCCAGATGCTAAATTCCTGACTACACCATTATTATAATGTCACCACCCTATTCTGATTGGCCTTAACTTTTCAAGGGGTGGATGGGTGCAGTGGATATATGACAGAGAGGTTTGTGAGTCTAAGAGGCTTTTTTCACATCCACAAGATGCTGTATGTCGATAGAGGGCACTGTTGTTGGAGGGCCTCCTATCTTCGTGCTATGCCACTTTTTAGGAAGGAAAAACAAACCTTATAGGTGGTTTACAGCCATTGAACCTTACATGAACTTCTCTGCCAAATATCAGTTCATCTGAGAGCCCTTTCAAAAGATTTTGTCTTTAATTTAAAGCCAATTTAAAATATATGAATTTAGTCAAAAATTAGTTTAGAGCCAAAACTGGGCAAACTATTCTAATTGAATTTTGAGATGATGGAGCATAGACCATTACTGCACTTGAAGCATAATGATCCGTCTGTAAACTTTGTAATGGGACAATGCATAGCTCAAAGAATTGTTCAGAGAAAAAACCAGACGATCATCTCAACACCTTTTATAAGCCCATTATCAAGAATTTATGAATCTATCATTTTTCTCGAATATTCGAGGCTTACTTTCTCCCATAGAAAACAGGGGGATATTTTTAAAATCACCCTTTGCATTATTTTAGCAATAATTGATTTTTGATATAACAATTCAAAGTGCCACTTTTTGTCTCCTCGCCCAGTTTGTGCATACCTCAAACATGAAGATTTTTGCCTTCAGTGTCCCCGTCATCTAGCTTCTTCAGCAGGTTATTTGCACCAGGGCTGTACCGAACCTTAGATCGGAAATCGGACATCGGCCGATCCAGACTTTTTTTTTTATGGAATCGGCGAAACCGATCTTTGGGCCAGCCGATCTGCCGATTTCTTTTTTTGTGCGTCGAACACGCATCGCATCTTTTCTCCCTATTTCGATTTCCCGGCATTTTGTAGCAGGCCGGGGAACTCCTACAAGGAGACAGTAGTAGACACGAACTGCATTTATGAACGATTATGATGATATGATTATGAGAACGGAACTCAAAACTTGAAAGCACGTGGCCATTAGCTTGGCGCGGTCGGGAGCGCGACTTCTTCCTATTAAATGTCAGCCGACTTATGAGCACGTACGAGGAGCCGCTGCATTCCCATTGAATCACCTATGAAACCCTTGCAGTTGAACTTTTCTAAAACAAACACTGAAACCTTGAATGGGCCTGCTTCCATTAAATGTGCAGAGGCCTAACGTTAACGTTAGGCTTAGGCCTCTAAATGCATTCGCGTGTGCAGCATGATTGGCCGATGCCGAATGTATGGTTTATCCTAGCCTAAGTCTTTGTTTTCTTCTCGTTTTCCATTTGTAGTCATGTGGAATGCTGAAGCAGTACTGTCACATATATTCAAACAAATGCCCCAAACCAGATATGATATAAATCTCTTCCTTACACCTTTTGTGAAAACAGAAACTGATATAGCTAATTTTCCTGTGGTATGGAGCACTATTTGAGATTTTTGATGATTTTGGAAAAACTCATGATTTTAATATAAAAAAGGATCATTGTAGAGGTTTTTCACCGTATGTTCAATGTAGATCTGATGCACCTAGTTCAAGTTAACGCTTTCATGGGCAGTGGGAAAAGTTCTTCCCAGAAAACGTTTGATTCCAGTGCCCTGGGAGGGCTTTCTTCCCACTCTTTCACACTCACATCATCTACTGGTGACCATAATAGATCAGGAAAGGTTCCCACCACAAATATGAAAATTTATGTTTGGGGGAGAAAAAACTGGAATTTTGCAAAATGAAAGTCCATAAGTGGGAAAAGAAAATGTACTGAAAATTTTCATTTGTCATTTAGGAAAAAATTTGCCCATGAAATGGTTAATGTCATCTTGATTATACTAACTCTGCAAAAAAGACCTATCCCATAGACATGTACAATGATTGGTATCAGTATCAGTAATCTTTTAAGAATAGATATTGGGAATCTGCCAAATTCTTGTATCAGTACAGCCCTAATTTGCACCTTTTTGCTGATAATCACCTGTGATCAGATCTAAAGGGCAAGAGAAGAGTCAGATCCCTTGAGAAATGGTGAAGGAACTCAATAAGAGTAAGAGGAAACGTCTTTGGGACTTGAATCTGTGCAGAAAATTGAGCGTCAGTTATAAGCCTAAACCTATTTCATTACCTCATGTTTTGGTGCCATTTGACTTCTTTTTTAGAGTGCTTTCAATAGCTAAAGATTGGTCAAAGTATGAAATTATCTTTTGGGTAATGTCCTTTGTGAGACTTGCACTTACATTCTCATCAAGTCTTGGACTTTTTCTAAGCAAGTCATTGGTCTAGTCAAGTCTTAGTCTTTTTCTAAGTCAATCACTCAGCACTCAACCTGGCATTTGAATGAGAATACTAACTAAGCTCTTCACTAATAGGGAAATAGCACTTAAGGAAATTTGTATGGTCCCAATACAAAAATGAATATGGTCCCAAGACAAAATTTCAAGCCATTATCTCCAGTAGTTTTCTCTTATGTAACAAAGGGTTAAAGTTAATCAGAAAAACTGCATTGAATGTAAAGAACTCATTTACTTGGGTACATTATCCTAAGCATTGGTATGTATCACTTCATATAAGCAGCTACTGTTTTTGCTAACATTGTTAAAATAAGACACTTGTGTTGCTCACTTTTGATTGCACTCTCAATTGCCATTAACCCCTTGACCTTTGAGTTTTTATGTGGAACTTAAATACCCAGATGACAAGTTCTTCTGAATTGCTGAACTTGTTGAGATCCAACAGAGAAAAAAAGAAAAAATAAATCCAGGATTTCTAGGCATTGAAAAATTATATTTTTGTTTTATTTAAATGGTACTGGACATCATTTGCAGTCTCTTTTCGTGTTAGAAATTTCTCTGTGGCTACCATACATCGAACCCAAGAATTCTCAGGTACAACAGCCAAGGAGTAAATGATGTGGCCCATCTTGGCCCATGGTTTCTTCTGGAATTCAGGAGGAAAGACATGCAAATGGCACAATTTTATATTGATTTCAAATATTTTGACCAACACTGTACAGCATGTGTAGTATGATATTTGGATATTTAAAAAAATTTTATGAGGGCGACTTGATGTTGGTAAGGTTGTGTGAAATGCCTCAAGAAGACTCAAAGGTTTGGGTGATGTGGAATATTGGGAAACTATGCATTTTGGTATTAGATAATGAGAAATGCATGGTTCTGGTGTAGGTGCTGCTGGACACTGGGATTCACCATCTGAGACTCCTTCAACTCTTGGGACAACTTGCCCTCCTCATGTTTCTCCCATTGTGGCTGTTGTCTGACTGTCGAACCATCCTCTCTGACTCTTCCATTGTAAGAATTCCTACTTTTGAAAGCTATAATTAAGTGCCTCAAGGTATCCCTTTCATTTCTGCTTTAACATTCCAGTTTGAGGGAAATTTTCAAGAGACAATCTTGCTTCTCTTCATGGACGGGTTTCTCAACTGGCTACAGAACATCATTGCCTTCAGTGTGTTGTCCTTGGTCACCCCACTTTCTTATGCAGTTGCCAATGCATCAAAGCGTATCTGCATCATCTCCATATCTTTGTTGACCCTTCGAAATCCTGTGACACCCCTGAATATCTTTGGAATGATGCTTGCTATCATCGGTGTCTTCCTCTACAATAAGGTACAGGTGTTTGAATTTTCTTGGTCAGATGTGAGTAACAGATCATCATAAATTGATGTTTACTGAATGTCTCATCATCACAGGCTAAATATGATGCTCACAGACAAGCCAAGGCCAAACCAATACTCCCAGTGATTAAGGGCCCATCAGAGGCATCCAAGAGCCTCCTGTTCTCTGATGTTGCAGATACTTTGCCAAGGAATTCATATCATCTCTCATTACCACCAGAGGGGAACGTGAGTCCTCCAATGAGTAATGGGATGACCCGTAACCCATACTCTTCTGTCTCCCTTAACTCTGAGTGGCTCTGATGCTGATTGTCAAGGTTTAGAGTTATTAGACTGCTGTTGGAGTTTCTGACTAGGATACCCTAATTGACTCCAGCTCCATTGTTTTTCATGAATTACCAAATTACCTGTGATTTGAAAATTTATCTAGAACAAGTTCCCTACAAATATAGAAAGACAACATCCTAGACATGATAGTATAAGTATTTTTTATTATTTTATCTTGTTTTTCTCATTTCTTGACATGTTCTGTGAAACCTTTTGGTGAATGGTTTTATTTTAGTTATTTTTCAGAAACCATCATTATGTGTTAGGGGCTATCTTAATCTGCTGTGAAATGGCTAAGAGCTGCCGTAATTATTTTTTTTGAAGCTGTGTCTGTCCATGGCCATGGCACAGAGTTGCATGATTCATCAACTAAATCTGTTTGATGGTGTTTCTTTTGAATCTCATGGAACCAGGGACCTTGGTGTGAAATATTAAAAAAATATGATGTTTCAAAAGGTGATTGCTTTGGTAAAATTTGAAGACTTAGTTTTCTGTATGTGCTTCCCTTGGTTTTCACTATGTGTGCTTGATCATCAGAATGATAATTCTATTGTGCATGAAAAGATAATGGTGGAAATAGGATGATATTTCTGATGACCAACAACTAGCCTCCCCCACCTAATGACAAATGTTTTCTCTGTATAATGTGGAACCATCTGTGCTCATCCAGTCCCCTGAAATGTTCATGTTCATTTAAAATCTGATGATGGTGACGTGAAGTGTTTGATCCTTATTCCACGCTGATTAGTAATTCATTGCAAGAAAAAGACCAAGGTTATGATTGTGATGTTTCCAGTATTTCTTGATCTTTTCAACTATTAATATTCTCTTTGACAGATATTGAGTTTATCTATCTTAGGATAATACTGCAAAGATATTTTAATGGTTATGGGCCAATACTAATTAACAAAATTTTATAAATTGGCCAAGTATGATATATGAGCACCTGGTAAACTAAAGGATGGGTCCAGATTCAGGCTAGGTGCAAATTGTGCAGAAAAATGGTAGCAGTGTTTCAACATATGTCTGAAATTACTTACGCCCTATCTCTACCACCTTTTTTTTTGTTTCCCCACTAGTTCTTTTACATGGGGACTGTTAAATTGGCAGAGGGGTAGTTAAAAAATATGACATGTAATGAAAGCAGATGCTACAAATAATCTCTTGTGCTATACTTGTGCTCACTCAAACTTATTTGGAGGGTATTGAGTGCAGGAGCCTTCTGAGAAATAATTCACACGAATTTTTCATCTGAGATTTGTGAAGGGAACAGATGATTCTGTTTAAAATATCCTTTCAAGGTTCCTACCCAGGCAGCATGAAGCAGAGTGTAAAATACATCTGCTTTTGTCTCTCCCTATTTTAAAAGTCAGCTTCTTCATGATATTTTATGTCCTAGAAGACTGAGGGGGTTGGGAAAATATCTTGAATTTGACAATAAGCTAGTTGAATTGAATGACAATTGAGACCATGCATAGATGGAAGGCCCGTTACTCCCTTGAAGGAAGATTGAATGTCTTAGCCTCTTTTTTTTTTTTTAGCAGGGACCCTACAGGAGTTCTCTTGGTGACACTAAACTGGTCACAATACATCAATGTCATTATTAATGTTTTTTTTCAGTCATCACATCCATCGATAGACAGAGAGGGAAAGTGTTAGAATCAAAATCTGTTGGTGTGCAATGGAAATGATTATCAGACCTCATGCTGCCCAAAAACAAAGGGAGAGAGGTATTTAAGGCACTATTGATTGCCCAAAAACAAAGGGAGAGAGGTATTTAAGGCACTATTGATTGAGGATAGGTTTTCTTGGCCCAGTAAGGGAAAACTCTAGGGTTGGCCAAAAAAAAGTGTGCCACTCAAAATTTTACTATAAAATATAGGTTGACTAGAAAATGTATGGGTATGTTGCCTAATGTGTTCTCCAACACCTTTTGAAGTGTAATGCTCCTACTGGTATCCATACTTGAGTTATGGTGAATCTTGTCAAGTTGGTCAAATTCTGAGTGAACAGACATGTGACTGCTGTTGTGGGGGATGAAGTCACATTTGCAATTGAATTCCTGAAAATTTATGCATGTGCATGAAATTTTCAATGGTGAAAGAAATAAAATTTGACAACATCCTGTTGAGTTTTCCATCATGATATGCCCTCAGGATCAGATTTTTTAAAGCAAAAATCAATTGTGGATTCATGCTTTGCCATGGCAGTTGCATGCCTGTTCACTCTGAATTTTGACCATTTTGACAAAATCTGCCATAACTCAAGAATGGGTGGCTGAAGGCATATGAAACATCAAAAACTCTTGAACATATTGGACAATATTTCATTAAATTTTCAAGCCAATTCGTTCAAAAATATGATTTTTATAGGTAATTTTTGAGTGGCCTATATTTCTTTTTGCCAACCCTGTAGTTTGAGTGGAACTGGGTTTGCAACCTGGGTATCCTTGGGCTCAGAAATTTTTGAAGCAGCTAGGAAAATGGTTTCAGTGTTATGGCATCCCCTGTGGTGACCTTCACAAAGAGATCAAGACTGATCTCATGATTGATATCACAACTCATTCAAACCCACCCTTGCAGAATTTCACTAAGCATATGCTCCCATGTGCACAGTTGGAATTCCTATTTGGATTGACAGGTAAGAAATCCTATTGACCAATTGAATGTATCATGCAAAGAAGAATGATGGTGATGTGACAACTGAAGTCATTTTGAAGTCCCTTTTTGTGGTTTTGTTTCTTATGCCCCTGTCCAATTGCAATGGCTTGGCGTGTCCATAGTATTGAGCAGCATGGACTGCAGATTATGAAGACCTCCTGATGTGCTCTCTTTCAAGGCAATTTTTGTTCTTCCCTAACCTTTACTCACTGTTCACAATTACATGTTTGCTGATAAATTGATGCACCATCAATTTATCACCACCATCATGGTTCAGGTTGATGTATCATTTCCAAAACTCCCATTGTGACAGCCCTACAGGGTGACACAAAAATTCTGTGCACTTAAAGAAACCGCTGGTGGTTCTGTGCTAACATATTCAAACATGTTGGGTTTGTTTTTTTTATATGAAGCTTAAGGTACAAAGAACTTAGTTTCATCACAGTTTGTTAATCCCCATCAGTTTCATTATGTCATTGTCCAATCAAGATCATTGGTCTACTGTCATCAGTTTGCATGAAGGTGGGAAGTCTCCCTCAGATCTTCTGACTGCTCAAGATCAATGGCTACTACCTGAACCTCATCAAATGTACAATCAAGTGGTTCCTTCAGATAACTCAACTGAGAATCATCGATCAGGTCAACTGAAGTCTGCATCAACCACATGCCAACATCAAAAGAGTCTGACCTTAACTTAGTTCAAATCCAAAGTAATCGCTGAGAAAAATGGATAAAAAAAATGAAGATGAGTCTCAAATTGCTCTGGGGAATGGTCAAGAACAAGCCTAATCTCCAGCCTTCCAAGTCTGCATTTTCTCAATTTCTCACAGAACAAATTAAGAAGACTAGGCTGCAACAATCATGGTTGCTGCTCCATCGGTTTGTGGATGGCAACCATCACTAAATCCTCTTTTCTGATGAGAAGTTCTTCACACTCAAGCAATCCTATAACTCTCAAAATGACCAAGTGTTGGCAGCAGAGTAGTCAGGCATCTTCCCAGACCTCTGTTGTATTACTCACACTCAGATGCTGGCTTCTGTGATGGTGTGGGTGGGAGCACTCTGTACCAGTCCATAAGGCCAAGACCACTCAGGCCTTTTTCAAAGAAGAATTCCATGACTTCATCACTTTGGCAGAATGGCCTCCATATAGTCCTGACCTGAACCCATTGGACCATTCTGTATGTAGCATCTTGGAGGACAAAGCCTGTGCTACTCCACATGCATTGGTCGAGTTCCCGTAATTACCCCTTCAAATGGAAGGGCTCAAAATTTCCCAAGAAACACTATGTGCTGCAGTCAATGCTTTTATAAAGACTTTGTGATAGGGTGAAAGCAAAAGGTGGTCATTTTGAATAAGTCCTCTGGTATTATATGTTGAAATAGTTGTAGTTTCCAGTAGTGTTGTCCCTGTGTGTCACCTATTTAAGAAATTTATGAAAATTGAAAAAACTGAGTGTAAAGAACTTTTGTGTCATCCTGTAGTTAGCCTAGGTTGAGGTCACCTTGCACTCATTTTCCCTCCTTCCCCCCCTCCAATCTTTCATTCAACCAAATCCTTCTGTCTATATTTAGATGTGTCTCACTATGAGAAAATTTCTCATTCATGGTTAAGAAGTATGGGATTGATTTTATTATTTTTTTAATATAAATTTTTAAAGTTGATTTGTGCCTTAGTTTTATCTAGTGTTGGAATGCATTCACAAGCAGATGAGATAAAAGATTTTCCAGGTGAGTGAAGCAAGAAAAGGGAGAGATGTGAGCTTAGTTTTTATTCAACACAGGAATCCCTCCTGTGATGGATATTTTTCATTCCATGCATCATTGCCCTGAAAGACATGAATGGTTAACACAACCATTTTATGCTTTTCTCGCATCTCTCTTTTCTCACACCGCCCACCTATAATTTCTTTCATCTTCTTGATCTGTGGATACATCATAATTCTTGATGAAATTAAGGTTCAAGTCAGAAAAAAATATTGCACTGTTTTGGTAATTATTCATTTGCCTATTTTTTTTAATGTAATCAGCTCAATTTCCTGTTTTAGTAAGGTGAAGAACTGATCACTCAGCCTAGACTAGGGAAAATTGGGGATCTAATTAGGCATGTTATCAATTGGTTAAATATTTCCTTGATATTCAGTTTTAAATTCAAAAGGAAACATCTGATGACAATGTATAATGAGCCTTGCTTCAATAATGGGCCTTTTGCTTAATGCTTTGGTTAGCTTTTTTCCGAATTGATTCTTGTAGGCCGAAAAAGACCTAGCATTAATTTACAAATTGTGTAGGATTTTGTCTATTCCTACTCCAGGATATGACTAAATACTGAGTTTGTCATTTTTTTTTAGTATTATGGCCCTTCATTAGTCCAGACTCAGTCCTTTATTATTTAATTAAATTTATTACTTTTTAGTTTCAAATTTAGCGTATGGAATAAATCATGCCTCAGTTATTGGTGTTGGCTTTCTCAGTATTGCTTTATTGGTGTATCTGATATAAAGTAGAATTCAATGTTGTTAGAATCCATTAGAGGTAGGGAAAACTGAACTTTTAGCATGTGGTTTCTCCTTTTGGTTTGGTTGTTTTTCTGTTTTCTATCTTTTCAACTTCCTGCTCAGTGATTGTTTTTCCCCTTCCAGTATCACTGCAATTCATGATGTTCTGATGAGTGTGTTGACAACAGGCACTTTGAGAGCTTCCATTGTGCTATTGGTTCATTCCTTGATGACAGCCAAGTTGCTCTGCTTAAAACTTCTGAGTCAGTTTTGTTATGAATGCATAATATATTTTGAATATCAAGAATAAATTTTTTTTTCTACACGTTCAGGTTTTTTCAGCTATGGGCCCATGAAATTATTCAGCATGTTTTTCTCTGTAATTGGGTCTTGGAGATGATGGTTTTACAATGCATTGAAATCTCATTAACTCTAATCCTGATGTGTTGAAATTCCACTTATCTTGAAGTTCAATACTTAGTCCCGGCAGAATCCCGTTGGACACCATGGGTCAGTCGCATTGCTATCCCTTCAAAGTCAAACTTCTCCAAAAGTCTGACTTGGAAAAGTCGGACTTGAGTTTCTGTTGCACTGCCTCTGGCTAATCCTAGTCTGACTTTCTCGCAGAGGATAGTAAGATTCCACGCTTTGCAATCTTGCTTTTTCAGCGAATGTGAAGTTTTTCCAGACTTTTCATGTTGCAAAAGTCGACCTCATGTTTCCGAATAAAAGGAATTTCCTGGAGTCTGAGCTGCTTCTTACGGACAGAGTCCGAAAACGGAAATAAATTCTCTTTTCAAAGTGCAACACAGCTCTAAGCAAGAACAAGAAGGGTGGTTGATATATTGTAACGGAGGAGGTAAAATGAGTAATTTTCATGAATGGCTCAATATTTTGCTGTACGTACATGAAGCAATTCCAATAACTATTATTGTCAACCCTTTTGCTGCTTTAAGCATTAAGGTGTAGCTTAGGAGCAGCAAGTAATGCTAAGCTTTTAAGAAGGAAAACACTCAGTTTTTATCTTACCCTTTTGTTTCATATTGAAATAATGCTCGATATATCACCCTTCGAATCGGTCTAAATATATACAGGGTGTCACAAAAGTTCGTGCGATTTTTTAAAGTTAATTTTTTTAACCAAAAGCATTTTACCATAATTTCGCAAACATACCATTTTATTGTATTTTTTATTGCTCATTCCACTGAGCACAAAATCTTTTAAGTAATAACCGCCTTTTTGGTTTTTTAAGAATGAAATTGAAAAGAGCCATCAAGTGTTTGCACGACTCGGGAATGCGAATTTCCAAGATTTCTCGACGACTGAATGTGCTGGATTCGACCTTCAGGAAAGCGATGAAGCGCTACGAGGAGCTCGGTACATCGTCTGATCGCCCTCGCAGTGGACGCCCTCGCACTGCGACTGACGCTGCTCATCTAAAAAAGGTCCGTCAATGGTTCGAGAGGAATCCGCGCCGTTCGCTGAGGAAGGTCAGCCAGGAGGTGGGAATTTCGCATGAGTCGGTGCGGAGGATCGTCAAGAACAACCTTGGACTACCTTGGCTTACAAGAAGCAAAAAGGCGAAACTATTGACTGAGACGATGAAGGCGACAAGACTCGAACAGTGCAAGCGGCTATTTTCGCCTTTTGCTGCTTGAGTCCAAGGTTGTTCTTGACGATCCTCCACACCGACTCATGAGAAAATCCCACCTCTTGGCCGACCTTCCTCAGCGAACGGCGCGGATTCCTGTCGAACCATTGACGGACCTTTTTCGATGAGCAGCGTCAGTCGCAGTGCGGTACATCAGATGATGTACCGAGCTCATAGCGCTTCATCGCTTTCCTGACGGTCGAATCCAGCACATTCAGTCGTCGAGAAATCTTGGAAATTCGCATTCCCGAGTCGTGCAAACACTTGATGGCTTCTCTTTTCAATTTCCTTCTTAACACGTTGATGGCCACGGAAATTCTGGCCTATTGATTTTCCCATTCGGTGAGGCGCACCGGTGCGCCTCGTGGCGGTCAACCTGTTATAAAACCAAAAAGGCGGTTATTAATTAAAAGATTTTGTACTCAGTAGAAAGGACAATAAAAATACTATAAAATTGTATGTTTGCGAAATGTTGGTAAAATGCTTTTTGCTTTAAAAATTTAACTTTAAAAAATCGCACGAACATTTGTGACGCCCTGTATTTTAGACACGGCTCTCAGGTGAATAATGTCGGTGAAGCCGAAAGGTCTGATGACAGCAAAAAAAAGGAAGTATATTGAACTTGATGGAAAACCATATTTCTCGAAGAAAAAGAAACCTCGAACGGGGGGAGGGCAATCACTCCCGAAGCATAAAATCTTGAAGGCAGTCGTGAACGTCATTGGAGAGGACATTGATCAACCAGCATATCAGTCAATTTGGAAATTCATTTTCTGTCAAGTCTATACCCTTCATAATGTTCAAAATCACTAAGCTGTTCCGAGGGATCAAACCTTTCCCGGAGTACCCTTCTTGAAGTTTCGACTTCCCTCTCAAGTCGGGCATCATGAACCATCGCCACGGCTTCTCGAGAAAACCAGGTAATAGCGTTTCAAGTCAGGCTTCATTCAGCTAAGACGCCCCAAAGGTGGCTTGAGATTAGGCAGTGTCAGTGCAACTGGCTAAAATTTTAGACAGGCTTCCAAAGTCAGACTTGGCATGAAAGTCTGGCTTAACTGAAGCAGTGCAACCGGCCCCATGTCTCGAACCACATTTTTACTCCCGATTACAATTTTCTCATGGTTAACTCGAATTCGGGGTATGAAGGGGAAAAAAACTATCCTAGTGGGACTTAAGGATTTTTTGAATAGGGTGAAAGGCAAGAAACCTGTTCAAGAGAAAGTCCTTTGTTTCTTCTGTTTTATTTTTTCTGTTTCTCCCTCCTCCCGCACAGATGCCCGTGTGGAGGATTAAACCTGAGAATTAAACCCAAAAAGTTTCTGCTATAAGAAAAAATAGAAGCACTCTCCCTGTCTATCGCTCTCACTTCTTGCCATTCCAGTCAGTTTCTTTTACGCTATTGGTGTTGGAATGAGCCCATTCAAGAGAAAACTGAAGACTACTGGTTGAAGGGCGTTATAGTATATGAATTTCGCATATGAGTATCAATGTTTCCCTTGAGATGAATAAAAATGAATTTAAAAAATGAGTAGGTCGTTACTCCTTGAAATCGGATTCTTGAGGATGGAAATATTGCTCTTAGGTTAATATCCCCTAACGTGAGTTTTTTTTATTCTTTATAGTAGAGGCAATTCCTGAAAACTGGACCTTTGGATAACTCAAAACGATTTGCCCGGTCCCTAAAAGTTTGAGCTAACGAGTTTTCACTGTAATTACATGGAAGGAAACCTAGGAGGAGTGACAAGAGGAAGGCTAAGCTCAAATTTTTGCTCTAGAGTTTAACCCTTGTGTGAATGAGAAGTAGAGAGCAGAGACTATTTCATATACAACTCAGCCATATCGATAAAGAATCAAATGGCACAGATATAGTTTTCATTGCCAACATTTGAACGTATTGATGCACAGGGTGGGTGAAAAAAAGGACAGCTTTCAACGACACACTATACTGCATTCACTGCATTTACTTTCATGTTGTTTGCGGCATTTGAAAGAGGAATGAATGAGCTTTAAAATTATTATTTATGTCTCAAATATCTTCAGCAGTTTCATCAATTCGGGTGCTCATATGAACAAGAAGCCAAAACTGCGTTGCCACGCACTTGGACGCAGATGGCATGTGACCTTGAGCCGCCGCCTGTTCATCTCCACTGCTACAATACAACGCAGTTTTTGTTTACTATTCATATCAGCTTCCGAATTCCTGAAACTGTTGAAGATATTTGAAATGTAAGTGCACCATTTTAAAGTTGAATTTAATGTTGAAATCCGTCCTTTTTTTTGGCCCAACCTGTACTTGATAACATGATGCCATGCATCACCAACGCTACGCTCCCAGATGGAGATCTGCGTGCCTTTCGCTCCTGAAATCGCTTGATCGAGAGAAGACGGTGTAGTAAAAGTGACAACGGGATTTCATCCACTTGTTGACCGAAGCCTCTCAGTTATTAAAGAGGCATCTAGAAGTGCAGCAAGATATGTCGAAGCAGTCGGATTGGGTGATAAGGCGAATTGGACGGAAGCAATTTATTTTTTATTTTTAAAGAGATCTTGGTTCCGCAAACTTCATCATCGTGACATATAGGATTTCTCTCGTTAGACAACAGCCGTACTTCCGTTTGTATCCATCTTGCATACCTCAGCTCGAAACTCAATCCGATCTACTCACTATTACCACGGCTACAAGGTTTGATGGCTCCTTGTTATCAGTAATATGATTACTGTGCACTGTGTCACAAAATTACTTACTGTCGATATAATTTCTGAAGATTTTCATGCACGCATTCATGTACTGAAAATTTTCGTGAATCTACAGGATAATTAACAATGAAGAAAATCCTTACATGCTAAGTTTCTCAATATTTAAACACAAAATGTAATCATGTCAGACTTCCAGGCAGCAAGAAGCTTAAAAATAGTTGTAAGTTACTGGAATACTAAGTCCGGTCTAAATCATTTTTACTTGCCGTGTCATGCAGTGTCATGGTCATCGAAAGTCCCCTTGTCATGCGTGAGGAGACAAAACGAGAAAGGAAATGAACATCAAGAAATAAAAACCACTTCATCATTCGGAAAATGCGGAATCGCTTCTTGAAAAAGTCCTTGCAAACGAGAAAAATTATATTAACCCATCCGCATCATCCTCGGTTAAGCTCAAGTTAGTTTGTTTTCACAGACACGCAGTTTCCCTTCCTGGCCCACAGCACCGCGTGGCTGAGCGCACAGGGGCGTGTGAGCATGTTCGACCGGCAAAAGCAATAAATATTTAATTGAACTCATGTCGCTGTAATTCATGATTTACTAATGGACTCATCTATCGAGACGTCTTTCCCCGGAGTATAGAGCACTTTGAATCCGTCCTGAAGAAGCTTGAGAATTGGCCGCACTTTCTTCAGTCGATCGTTGGAGTCAGATGTACCATTGTTGGCAAAGTCCAGGTCCTTACTGCTGGCAATCAACCTTACCCTAGACATGACTTCATTGAAGAATGGTGTCTATACACGCGTTGCGTTCCCTGAGCGACCAATAAGATTGGACAGTTAGGCTTGTATACCAGTCTCATAAGGATACACAGGGCAAGGTAGGCCCAATAGCTCATCCCTTGTCAGGGGAGTGAAGTTTGTAGGGAAACTGTCTTTGGTAAAGTGGCTAGTTTCAGTCACTATGGGATCAAAAATAGTCACTGAAGAAGCAGCAAAATATCTCTTCCTCAGTTGTTGCACCATTCATTGCTGCCTAATCGATTCCGAACTGTCCAGTGAAAGATATTACGGTTACAGGGTTCATTAGGGTGTCCTTCCATTTGAGCTTGTTAGCTTCCTTTGGAACTTTAGTCCTGGGTGGAAATGGATTCGATTCATAAAGGTCAGAGGCACATGATTCATCCGATTTATGGTCAGATTCACTGGATGATTTCGCCTCACTAATTTCTGTCTCAGTCACATCACTTAAATCCTGATCCAAATCGTTTTCAGCATCTGATTATAATTATTCATCATAATTATCACCCATCATAATCACAAAAACTCACAACCCCTCACATTTGGTAACCTGAAACTATATTAAACCAGAGACGTGATAAATTTACTCCCTAATTCCTCTCTCAACGCTCGACAGCGGCTATGACAAAAATGGCCTTCTTTCGTGGCCCCTCTCGTGTCTCCCAGACGTAGTAAGACGATGGACTTAGCAACTAAACAAGAGGAGACAGTGTACTATGCACAAATTTTTTCTTCTTCAGTATAACTTCAGCGGTTCCTAAAGTATGGTCGCTCCAAGAACACTTCGTACCAGTACAGCCTCGGTAATACGGGCCAGGCGCAGCGCGACGTACCTGTACGTCTTTTGATGTGGATGGGTTAAAATTAAGGCTTTCACGAAAGATGGATAGTTTTTTCGACCATCGCGATATATCGGCAAAAGATTTCAAAGGGAAATGTCCTTTTGGATTGAGACGAGTACAGTACAATACAGTCCGTCCGGGCAGGGAAAGGAAAAAAAGCGGCGTGACCTGCATGGGCTTGCAATTTCTTATCACAATCAAATCCTGGAAATGCTGGGACTGACTATATGAAAGACGGGAAGGGAAAAAAAAACATGGCGGATCGGAGACAGGAAGTGGGAAAGGAGGGAAGATCGAGAATATTTTTTTTTCTCTTCTGTTTCAGTCTTCGGCTCGATCTCCTCAGCTGCTGTATCGCATCAGTACACTGCCCAAGTGGACTGTTCGTATACTCCCTTGATTTCGAAACGTACATTGGTTAATTCCCTCTCTATATTCCTGTCTTTCTCTTTAGTATGCAGGCTTAACTTTCTTAGTTTTTAACTTGCCCTGGGGCATTTTATCTCCATTTCAGGTGAACTCAAATTGAATTTTTTACATGGACATTGCTTATTCTAGGGCTGTACCGATATTCAGGCAAACGCCGGTATGGCACCGTCGGCAGGTTTCCTATTTTCCGGTGCCGATGTCCAGAGACCGTGTAGAACGAAGAAAAGAAAAAAATTTTTACGTGAACGGGCTTGGCAGCTGGTTCTCAACGACAACGAGAAAAAATTAGGGCTGGCCTGATGAATGGAAGTCATCTTCGATAGTTGGAGGCATGGTAGGTTTCATTACTCCTTGCGAAGGTCACACATTCCCTCTGCACCCCCGATCACAAGCGTGAGATAATGGAAGACGGATAGAGGTCCGCGCTCTGATCGAGGCAAGAAACTATGGAAGACAAACCTCCGCTCGATCGCGGCGAGAAAAGATTGAATCCTCCGGCGCACCCCCCCCCCTCCCCCTCCCCGATGCATTGATACGCTATAGATAGTTCAGGTCGATGTATCGATGGTTTGAAAACTGCCATCGTGACAGCCCTAGTTAAAATGCTGTAAAAAAAAATTTGCGGAAGTCTTTCGAACGTGAGATTCTCAGGATTAGATTTACCCACGCCCCAATGCAACTCATTCGCGTTCCGAGATTCCCATACATTAACGTTGGGAGTCTCCTTGCACAGGGCGTTGAAATAGCTAGGGCCAGTATCGTATGATATTTCAAGGTCCGTCTTCCCCTCCAGGAAGAGCTTTGACCACTTCCGGATCGTCTCGTAAGTTGGACAGTGTTGGCTCAAAGCCATCGACATCAATTGATGGATTTCTGTCGGTGTGTTGTTGAGCAGAATATGGAACTCGATGATGACTCGAATGTCATGTTTCGAGAATGATTCTTGCACGACGGAGGCGTTCGTAGTGGCTGTATGCAACATTCGGCAGTGAGTGTAAATGTGGCTAAATTCATACAAAACTTCGCACAGTGAATACTATTAGATATATTCAGTGCTCACCGAAATTTAATAAAGATTCATCGAATGTAACTCATTTTTAAAATCAATACAGAGAACTTTTCGGACAAACCTAGTATATAGCGAATTAACGAATAACGAATTTTTTTTAACCTTTCCCTTGGAGTACGTTATATCGAGCGTCGGCTGTATTCTCTTTTGGCAATGAACAAACTTGCAAATCTACTTATGAAACGAACTCCCTTCATTCCATTAAGGAAGGAGGGAAAATATCATATGACACCGGCCCTGAATGGAGGTCAGGAGGGTATCTATGGAGATCACAAAAGATTAAGGGTCGGTTCTTGTACTCCCTTTTAGCCCTAATAGACCTTTTAGGTCCATTGCCAACATAGGACTAAAAGCCCGTTAGCAGCTAAAAGGAGTAGAAGGACCCACCCTAAGTTATCTCAATACCCTTCATGGAGATATTTGCGGCCCCCACTCGCAAACTGTTTTTTTTTTGTGTGTCTATTTTGCATGTTATAGCCTTCATCATTATTATTTATAATGGAAGATATATGTCACTATTACTTATAATGGAAAATAATTCTGTATCGTCTTTTTTATTTTTAAGGTCTTCGATTTGAACCATTGATGGGTAAAGTAAGAGCACTTGTAAAGAAGTTAGTAAATAGGGGACAGTCCCAATATCTCCCTTCCCCCGAATTTTGGAGGGACGTATCTCGAAAACCGTTGGTTGGAATCCGCTAAAAATATTCTATCGCACCTATTTCTTAATAGGGCCCAGCATGTACTGATTTTCAAGCAAATTCATGCTTATCGAGCTAGAAGTATAACTTATTTTTGGTTGAGTTGAAATGAAATGACCCCGTAGGATAATTTTTTGGCATTGAGAGCTTGCCGATCCACGACCTTCCATTCAGCCGAATTTCCCGCTTCGACGATCTCGTAATCATCCTCGATATTCCTCATGCTCCCCTTGGTCACCTGTGCGCCTCTACGAATCACATTTCTGCTTCTTCTGATCAAGGTCTTAATTTTACCTGTAAATCAGATTTAACTTGTAAAGCAGATGGAAACTTCTACTCTTCGCGAAAATAGGCTTATAAATAACCTGAAAATGCAACTTAATTCGAAATGGGCATTTGAAACTGAGCAGCTGGAAATGCTAGGATCGAAGAGGCCTTTGAGACTTCCGTGACACAGTGGCCATGGGCAAACCTATGTGTCGGCGTGTAGTCCAAGGCTCTCAGTTTCTGATCCAGGCTTCGAAGTTTCTTATGGTCCAAGGCTTTTCTTCCGATGCCATTTTTTCAATTCACTTTCTTATTCTTATTTTTTTTAAAGCACTTTATCTCATATTTGCTTAAGTAAGTGGGCTGTATTCAAGGTGATTCCTGCTTTATACCGGTGTGGTTGCAAGAAACCTAACGTTAGAGGCCACGGTGCCCTGCAAATACTCAAGTTGCACCCGGGGCCGTGCCTAAAATTAACTATGTCTACCCGTTTTCCTTAGGCTACGTGTGCAAATGACGTCTGTCTTCGTTATTTAGGTCAGTGGTTCAATGCGTATGTAAAAAGTGAAACATGGCAAGTGACGCAACTAACCCCGACAGTTTGGAGGATGATGAAGCTGAAAATTCTAGCTCGCTTTTGAACGTGCATGCTGTTCCATTCATCCCAAATGTGAATGCTCCTGAATTTGTGCCTTCTAGTGTCAACCATCAGCATCCAGTTGAGTCATCTGCTGAAACGGCAGTTGCCACTACAAATGCTGATCAGATACATCCAGGTAAGGCTTAGGCCTATTTTATTAAGGTATTAAGAGGTAGTGCACAGAAATGATGGAGAATTTTGAACTTTCAGGGAGTGGTCATCTTGGATATGGCCGAAAATTGGTATAAGGTTTCAACTTTTGTGAAATCCAAATTCTTGAAGTTCGTCAGCTGCACGTAGAACAAGTGTGATGGGGTGGGGTGAGCAGCAAATTGATCCATACATTCCAGGGACCAAATTTTACCAGAAAACTTTTACCCAAAACTTGTTCCATTTGTTTTAAGAAGGTGTTATATCCAGGAAAGTCATGGTACCATTGACTCAAGATAAAAGTTTGACACCACTTGCCATTATTTTGGACTCACTGATTATAGTCTTTGTTGGCGGGTTATGGAGAATATCCTGTAGATGCTGTGGCTCAGGATGATCTGTGGTACAGTGGTAGTTGAGGATGCTCTTATATTTAGATGCAAGATCACCTGAGGGTCCTAACAGCAGAAGTAGACAACATTTGTATTTGACACTTTAGCATCTCCCACCAGTCTTGCTGAAGTGATCACTCATGTTTATGAGGTCATATTTGTTGGTCCTTTAATCTTTAAGGACTCGCCATAAGGCCTATTGGATAGATCAATATGAATAGACATCCTTTTCTACCTGCTGCTTTATGTGCTTTACACTTTGAACCAAGCTTATTATAATTAGTGTATGAAGGAAATCCTTTCCTTTTTTTTGACAGGTTTTCCTGTTGCCTTAAACCCTTCACTACCATTGATGACAAAAATTAATTGTGATGGTGAATATTTAGCTCTGCCTTTGACAATACCTTGTCATGTATAAACAACTGCAGAAAGTTAGCCATGTAAGCAGTAGTGTATTAACTAGCTGTTGCTTTGAAAATAGGAAAGACTTATTAATTTTCTATTATATTACTGATATGTAAAAGTCAATGTGTTTCAAAGTTGGAATTTGTGTGGAAAAATTTGGTAGCATAGGGGTTAAGAAGTAACACTTCAACCAAACCCCTCTCCCATTTTTATCCTCTGCCCACTGCTTAAGCAAAAGTTGTCATATCCTTTTAAGTATATCACTTGCTGCTAATCATTCTTCTTGGTGGTCCCAACAAGATAAGGTAAAGATATGATTTATGTTATTGAAATTTATTAACTATTTCTGATTGTTTTCTGAGTAGAGAAAGAAGTACCCCTCCAGGAAACCAAACCACCTGACAAGCAAGATGAGGGAGGTGGGGAGCCAGCAGACTCTTGGGAAGATAAAGTTAATGATGAATCTGAGGAAGACTATGATGAGGGTGGGGATGAAGATGAAGATGAGGATGAAGACATTAGTGAAGGGGATGTGGTCACTGTCAAACCCAAGAAAGTCAAGAAACCTCCAAAGAAAGAGACTGCAAGCAAGAAGGAGCATGTGAATGTGGTATTCATTGGCCATGTTGGTATGTTACCAAATTCATGCTACATTTTTCTATTCCACATAAAAGGGGGTAAAAAATAACTAACCTAAATTTGTGCTTTCTATTGACTGTAATTCTTGGCCAAAAGAATGTTTATATTCATTATGAGGTACAGGAATACAAGGAATTAAAACCCATGCAGTAGTCCATGTATACTAATCATATGCAAAAAATGATCCCCTGTAAATGGTCCAAGGCATGGTATATGTTCAAATGTCTCAAGGGGAATGGCAGAAATGCATTGTGTAATGTTATTGTGCAAGTCTTGAAGGGTCTGGGATTTGTCTTGGTACACCGTTGCCTTCAATGCACCCCACAGTTCTGGGGAAAGTTCTGGACTCTGAGAAGGCCAAGGAATATCTTCATGCTGGGAGATATGTTTTGGGAACAACTGCATCTGTTACTGTAGCTTGTGTAACTGATCCAGATTTGAAGAGTTCCACAACTAATGCACAGTCTTTATATATCCACTGATTCATATTACCAGAATCTCCATCTGTTATAGAATTTGAAACAAGAAACATGTTAATACATCTGTTTATCCATATTAATGTAATAATGTCAGTTACTTTTGGTCCACCCTATTTTTCTAAGAGTGGGTAAGAATTCCCCTTCATGTGTTTTCCCCTACCTGCAAGGGTGCAGTTTTGAAATCACATTTCAAGGTGATTTTCATATCCCCACTAACCAACCATTTTGATGATATGTGATGTTGCTGATACATTAATGGTTTCATACATTAATGGTTTCAATGCCATCAAGCTGGGACAAGCTACATTTTTCAGTTTTATAAAGTAGAGTGAATATATATTCCTGTTGAATTCTCTCAATATCTCTTGTTTGTCAGTCAATAAATGTGTGTTCTTTTATGCTTCACCTAATGCTGTTACATTTGATAAGACTTGCATTTGTAACTTATTAGATCTCACTAAACCTTGTGTTGAAAATGCAAAATAAGTATGCCCATTCAGTGTCCCATCTTGGAAATGTCATCTGACAATTTTGAACTTCTTTGAGGTAAAACAAAAAAGATAACTGTAATATCTTTTTAAAATCTCTTTCAGATGCTGGCAAGTCAACAATTGGAGGGCAAATCATGTATTTGACTGGGATGGTTGACAAGCGAACACTGGAAAAGTATGAGAGGGAGGCCCGTGAAAAGAATCGAGAGTCATGGTATCTGTCATGGGCTCTTGACACGAACTTGGAGGGTGAGCTCCCTGAATTTTGTCTCTGGAAAACTATATCACAAATGAGCCAATTTGACATGCAGCATTTCTGCAGAGCGTGAGAAAGGGAAAACTGTTGAAGTTGGCCGTGCCTATTTTGAGACAGACAAAAAGCATTTCACAATTCTTGATGCCCCTGGTCACAAGAGCTTTGTTCCAAACATGATTGGTGGTGCCGCTCAAGCAGATCTGGCTGTTCTGGTGAGTGCTGATCTTGCTTATGGAAATTGGAAAGCACCATCTAATGTACTGGTTGTTGCTGATTGAATTTACTAATGTCACTTTGATTTATGTGTGTGTACATTGAAATATGTAGGTAATCTCAGCAAGGAAAGGAGAGTTTGAAACTGGATTTGAAAAAGGTGGTCAGACTCGAGAACATGCCATGTTGGCCAAGACAGCTGGGGTGAGACATTTGGTCATCCTTGTGAACAAGATGGATGATCAGACTGTTGAATGGTCTGAAGAAAGGTAGTAGTGAATTTGCAATTTTTGTTGTTTTATTTTTTTTTTTACTACAGAATCCCATTTTAGTTGCTGCCTTGCCTGATCTTTCAGATTCAATGAATGCAAGGAGAAGCTTATCCCATATCTGAAAAAATGTGGATTCAATCCCAAGACTGATATGGGATTCATCCCATGTTCAGGACTTACTGGGGCCTTCCTCAAAGAACCTCCAGATGAGAGCATCTGCTCCTGGTTTAGGTGAGGAAAAGGAATCACCATTTTTCCTTTCATTGGAAAAAGTTGACTTAAATGAAAATTGTCTCCTTTCTGTAGAGGGCCCTGCTTCATCCCTTATATTGAAAGCCTGCCTTCACTCACTAGAAATGTGGATGGGCCATTTCTGCTTCCTGTGGTAGACAAATTTAAGGAGATGGGCACAATTGTACTTGGAAAGGTCGAGAGTGGCTCTTGCACCAAGGGACAAAGCCTTCTTCTCATGCCTAATCGAGTGAGTATTGCCTATGTATAACATTGTCCAAGTTGTAGCAGTGCTCTTATTCTGGGTTTGGGATTCAGCATTTGTGCAATGAGTCAGAAGACCTGCCCACCTTTTGAACGTTGATAACTTGAATGCCAGATTGGATTGAGGTCTAGATGAAGACCATTCACGACAAGAATGTCATCAATCCAGTGATACAATTTTTTATAATTTTAATCATCTTTTTTTCCTGAGCCTTGAAGTAATTTCCCTTTTTGGGTATTGTAATTTTTATTAACCCTTTGGCTGTTTGCCCAAGTACATACTCGGGCTTGTGTAGTGGTAGCATGGGTATGTTCTCGGGCTCAGAACATTCAATGTTTCTAGGTTATTTCACAGCTATTCATGCATGTATCTGCTATCTTCAATAATTATCATGATCTGACATTTTATTACATAAACTATTATTTTTAGACAAGCAGGACCAACTTTTATGTGAAAACGTATCAGCCATCCCCCCTGAATGTGCTTACACACTAGGGCAACATGAGGAACTTGAGAAAAACAACTGAGGAACAATTGGCCTTCCATAAGTGGGTAGCAGATGTTCAGCTTTGTTCCAATGGGCTAGAACACAACAGCTACTGCTTGAAAATTCCTTTTAGGAAAATTTGAGATTCATGAGAACCTTGAAGGGAGATGATGCATTGGTAAAGGACTTGCTTAACAGTTTAATATTAGCTTAGGAATGCCTGCATGATTGGAAGCATATCAACAATGTCATAAAATCTCAGACATTTACTTGTCAGCTGTCACAAGGACAATTTTGTATTTAGCTATAGATATTGCAAGAAAACTGAGGAAGAATGGCCATGTAAGTTTGTTTTTGAAAAGCTTTGGGCTTTTTTAACATGCACTTTTTCTGTGGTTCACAGAAATTTCATGAAATTTTGTTGTGGGTGACACCATATATCTCAGTATTTTTTACTATGGATCTTACTGATGGTATTGGAGGGTGATGTTTTTGTGTTGACTCCTTTTGACCAGACATCAGTGATAGTGGATCAGCTGTGGTCTGATGATGATGAAGTCACCCAGGTATCCAGTGGTGAAAATGTTAAGATCAAATTGAAAGGTATTGAAGAAGATGATGTGTCCTCTGGATTTGTTCTCTGTGAGCCAAGCAACCCTTGCACTTCTGCCAAGCTCTTTGATGCACAGGTATGCACTCCAGTTAAGCCAAAGATTTATTCTCAGAAATTCCTTTTCAGAGAAAGTTCTTATGTAATTCATCATTCCAAGGTGGTTATTTTGGAGCACAAGAGCATCATATGTGCTGGGTATTCAGCTGTTTGCCACATCCATGCCATTGCTGAAGAGGTTACAGTCAAGGTGATTTCCATTTTTTGTCTTCTGTTTAGACTTGCATGAAAAAGACATTCCTTATATTTAGAATTCTTAAGGTTCTAGTATGTTTAAATTGATTTGCCAGTTAGGCATAAACCTAATACAATAATAATTTATTGTCCTTTCCAAGGCCTTGCTGTGCCTCATTGACAAGAAAACGGGCGAAAAATCCAAGACAAGGCCAAGATTTGTGAAACAGGATCAGATAGCAATCATGCGTCTTGAGACAGCTGGAATCATCTGCGTTGAGACATTCAAGAGTGTACCTCAGCTAGGACGCTTCACTCTTAGAGACGAAGGTAGATCTTGATTCTTCTTTCTCTTTGGTTCTCCTCCATATGTTGGGTTGGAGCTATATCTGATTGGAATTTGTTGTCCAGGGAAAACGATAGCAATTGGGAAGGTTCTGAAAGTGATTGAGTAAAGCAGGAAATCTTCCCACAAGAAATTGTTAGCCAATGCTTTGCATGTTGGGAAGATGGACCAAAGCACACCGACAAGACCGAAGCCAGTCGTGAAAGATACGTTCCTTCTGCCTTTTTTTTTTTTTTCTTGCTCCATCCTTCTATTTCCTACTCCCATTTTCCTCCTGATCTTCCCTGTCCAGTGAAAATGTCTTCTTTTGGTGCTCGAACTGTATCCCTCTCTTTCCCTGTTTCTTCCTCTTCTGCAGCCGTGATAAACGATGCTATATTTTGTTATTTTTATGTACTGTAAAAAAAAATCTGTCATCGACAATGAAGTCAGGAGTGAGCAAGGTCCATTTTTTTGAGTCGAACTGGAGAAGGTTTCTCTTCTCTTGTGAGTTCTCTCAAGAAAGTTTTGGGTTGGGAGAAATGGAATAAAATTTTATGCTATTCTACTTTTTTTTTTTTGGATCTCTCATGTTTCATTCACATTTGTACAGATTTTCATGAAGTTCAAGAAATTTTGGAATGGGAATAGTCATAGTGGGAAAGTGTTTTATTGATGCAGTAGGAAGAAAACAGATTGCTTGCTCTGCTGAGTACAGCTTGGTTATGATACCTGTATCTGCTATACTGCTCATTGTTGAGCGCTTGGTGAGGCATAGCCGTTTGCTTTTGAGAAGTGTATGTCAAAGTATGGCATGCTTTCAATTAACTAGAGTAACCTTAAATTCAGAAAGATTTCCCATATAGTGAGAGCTAATTGGCTAATTAGCTAATTGATAATTCATCAAGTAGTAAGCCCATTCAGAGCTACCCCTTTCCAGGTGAATTCCTGCTTACATAAAGAAAAATCCCCCCATGCTGTTTCTGTGGGTGTAGTTCTCCTTTTCCCATTCTTTACTGTAATCATAGCATGCTCTACAGCAGTGCTTCTCAACCTTTTTCATGTCACGGCACATTTTCGAGTTTGCTTGATCCTTGCAACCAACCAACCTAAATTTCACAATGTTGTTGTGTAGAATATTCTTGTCAGACTTGTCAATGAAAGTAAGAGAAAAAAAAATCACCTTTTCAACATTGATAGAACAAATTATGACTAACGTAGTGCATTTAAAATCATTTTAAATATTTCAATTGGTTTACAAATTATTTCAAACACATTAAATTGAAGTTTTATTATGAAAGACACTTATTACATCAAGCCTTTAAAGGAGATTATAAACTTATTCTTTTTCAAGGTCCTGCTCTTAAATGTCACTAAGGATTAAAGGGCAATCAAATTATTCATTTAAAACATTCCAGAAAGTTCAGCCCTTCAGTTTCTCACTTGATTAGTGAGAAACTGAAGGGCTGAACTTCCATTTCACACTTTTAAGACACTTGCACCTGTCTTGAGGAACAGAGACATTTAATGTTTGGCTCTATGCTGGAAAGAGCTACACAGTTCCTCATCCAGGCTCATTTTTCACTTGCAGCCAAAAAGCATCCAGTGGCACCTTGCTGAACTTGAGTTTGAGAGAGTGGTTGCTCCTGAGGTCTATAAATTCCTCTTGTGCCTTCAGAGAAAGCTCCTTGACTGATTCCTCTGCAGATGAAGTGAATGGATTGTGAACCCAGTCATACTGCTCTGTGCTGGTCAACTTGAAGTGGTGTTTAAATTTGTCGTGAAGCATGCCCAAATGTTCGGCCACCACATTCAGCAGCTTTATTTTAGGATGTGTAGTAACACACTGTCCGTTTGAACATGTCCAATGTTCTATTTCTTTTCTCCACAGCTAAAGTTTTGATTTGAACGCATTTAGCTCGTCCATGTATGTAAGCACGTTCTCACAGCGTCCTTGCAGTCTTCAATTCAATTTGTTAATATGCTCAAAGATTTCAGCCATGTATGCTAGATTTTCCAGCCAGTAATAGTCTTGTAACAAACTAGCATGCAGCAATTTGTGGTGCAATGTTAGAAACTGCTCTATCTTGTCCCTAAGCTCAAAAATTATTCACACGACCTTGCCTTGCAAAAGCCAGAGAACCTCTGCGTGAAAAAGTAGGGATTGGTGATTTGCCCCCATCTCACAAAATACGGAAAAAGGTGAGGCTTAAGAGATCTTGGTTTGATAAAATTGACAATTTTTACAGCTTCAGCCAAAACCGACTTCAGCTTATGCTGCATGCTGTTTGCTGTGAGAGCTTCGCAATGGAGGAAACTCTGATTTCAATGTTTCCGTTTTAATTTTGCACATTCGACATAAACCCTTTGACATTTCCTGTCATTGCAGCTGCTCCATCAGTGTAGTTTTGTGTAGTTGTGTAGTTTTCCCACTGGGTCCCGTTGCTTTTCAGGTGCTCATCTATAACACAGAATATTTTTCATCGCCCGTTGGACACTGAGGAAGTCTTTTGCTGGTGAATAGACTAGAGAATAATAGAACAGCAATTTTCTTTCCTTTAATTCCAGAAATACTGCTGCACATTGGTTGCGAAACACTGTTGTACAGCGTGTGGCAAAAGAAAAAGTAGGTGTTGCCATCTAGATATTTTCATACCTGGAATATATATAGAGTTTTACTTGTCTTTTACAATCTGATACAAATGAAAATATTTGACCCCATACTTGTTCATCTATTGGTTCATGTAATGAAGTGTGGGAATGCCATTGCAACTTTATTTCTTCACTGGTCATAATGTCTGCTGCTGCAGCAAATTTTCACTATTAATGTGTCAATGCTAAAGCAATAGTCCTATGTTCTGGTTGTCTTGAGTCTCATTACAGATGATGCCAAAGGTGCTTCAAATTCTTAGTAAAAGCACAGTAGGTTTCAATTTTTCCATTCATTTATTGCAAACAAAGTTGGTCAGTCAATGAATTGAGTAAGAAATCTTCATCTATATACCCATAAGCCATGAATACACCAAAAACTTATTTGATGAATTAGTGAACTAATTTTAGTGCATCCAAAGTTTTCAAGATGCCACTAGTGTATGTACATCAGTGCCATTTGCTTATTGTATTAGTGTTTGACCCCCCCAAACACAACTTTTCTGAAAACCAACAATGGTTCTGAGCAGCATATGCCATCACAAACACATGGGGGTTAAATTTTGCAAAGCAACTTTAAAACACCACTGTAACATGAGCATACTGGATGAGATAAAAAAGTAGTGTTAGCAAGCCAGACCTGTGTCTGTGCATGTGGACTCGTGAGAAATTTTTATTTCACCGATTGCAATGCACTTGGACACTTGCCTTTGTGCAACCTTCAAATAGGCTACTGAAATTTCCATGACAGTCCCTCTAGTGTGGCAACCACTTTATATCATCAGGACATACATATTGATGTATGCCACCACATTGTACACTGCTTAGGTTGAAGAATTCTTAGAACCAATGGGCTGCTTGCTTTCCTCACGGAATCAGGTGTAAGTCATGAGCATGAATTAGGCATGTACGAGGGATGCTAAAATTAAATCTCCCAGCTTCATCCTTCAAGGGATGTACTTAGATTTTGTGAATGATAATGTCAATTTAATGACCAAACATTTTCTTGGACAGGAATACCTGGTTACTGGAGTATAGTACCAGGATTTTCTATCCAAAAAACTATCTTGCTATGCCATGACATCCTTTTTAACCCTTTCCCTGGGGCTGACGTAGTTTTATGTCAACATCCTCAAAGTTTTAGGATATCTTGGCCAGGAAAAGGGTTAACTCCTGGCTAAGGTCACCGTCCTCCATGAAAATTCTACATGGCATTTTGCACATTATTATGCATCTTTCAGGAAGGGGTCATTGAACATCCAGAATCCTCACCTGATCTGAGCCCTTGTGAATATGACCAGATTACAAACTGAGAGAATATTTCCTTTGCAGTCTAGTTTTGTGCACTCAACTGCCTTTGCATAGCAGTGAACAGAGTGGTAGCAGACAGCAACCAATCTGCTAGCACTGATAATATAAGGCAGTGACCACACAAGAAATTCTGCCTCAGAACTCTTGACAATTTTGAAAGTGTCATGGATCTATAGGATCATGGATCTATATATATCTACAGGGTGAGCCAAAAAATGGACAGTTTTCAACAATACACTACACTCCTTGCACTGTACATGCTTTAATGGGGTTTGTGGCATTTGAAAGAGGAACGAATAAGCTGTAAAATGACTTATTTACCTTTTAATATCTTCAGCAGTTTCAGAAATTCAGGAGCTCATATATGAACAACAAACAAAAACTGAGTTGCCTTGCTCTTGGAGGGAGATGGCATGTGACTTTCAGTCATGAAAGCCATTGCCTGTCCATCCCTGTCCTTTCCTGCAGCAATGTAATTTTTTCTCAGTGTTTACGTGAGTTCCCGAATTTCTGAAACTTGATATTTGAAATATTAATGTACCATTATAAAGCTTATTCAATCCTCTTTCAAATGCTGCAAACCGCATTAAAATATATGCAGGGAGTGCAATAGAGTGTATCATTAAAAACTGCTTGGGTTTTTTGACCCCCCTTTATGTATCTAATCAAATATCTATGTACAATGTTGTTGGTGCCTAAAATATTGCTCACAAGGATTTCTGGCATGACTTTTATGTTTAAAAATTCACCATCAACTCAGTTAAAATGCCACTGCAGGTAAAAGGTTCATGACATTGTCATGAACCTTTTGAGAAACCACTTTATAGGTTAAACAGAGCTGACATTTCATCTAATATAATGAGTGCACTGAAAATTAGTTGCAGAGAAACCATGCAGGTCAATGAGCCTCACATGTAAAATCTCATGCTGTTTACTAACAACCTTAGAGCTTGTCTATGGATATTCACATATCAGACAAGATGCATTTAGCCTGATACACTTTATTTTGTAAGATAGATAAATTATGATAATATGATACCCTATGCAATCAATAATACAATATTACACATATGGTGGTATATGGGAAATATATGATCATATATTGCCATATAAAATCATACACCATGAACTCCTGTTGCCAGCAGAAACTCAAGAAAGAGAAAATTTTTATTGCATTTCTATGGATTCAATTTATTCTGAGCAGGAAGGTGTTTAAGGGATGTGGCAGTGAGTCTGGTTGGTTGGAGGCATAGGAGAGATGAGGAAAAGCCGAAATGAGAAAGGAGGGCAGAGAAGGCGAGGATATGAAGAAAAGAAGACCTTCACAACTTCTCCCTTTAGAGGTGTGCACATTTCATTTGCACAACTCCGTTCCAGGAAGATGGATGTGATGGTGATTTGCTCCTTGCATAGAAGAGAAACATAGAGCTCATGAGATGGAGGAAGAAGAGGCATGGGCAGTGCAGAGTTTCCCCATAGGAATTTGGGATGTGGGTCACTGTGATCCCAAGAAATGTTCAGGAAGAAAACTTGCACGCCTCAGCTATGTCAAGATCCTCCGCCTTGGAACAAGATTTTCAGGCCTTGTCCTCACACCCAATGCTGACAAGGTTGGCTTTGGCTTTTTCTACTTGCAAAACTTAATGCTTAACCTTTAAAAGATGGACTGAATTCCTTGCTGACCTACAGTGTCTTATTTAAGTGAATTCTGTTCCATATAAGAAGCAGGAGATAGAAGCCTAAGTAGTAGTCTGGATACTCATTTTCTTGAATGTGGTTTGACTGATATTCACATTTTTATGGGAAGGGAATATTATCAAAAAGAGTGCTTTAACCCACAGTGGAGCATCTAGGTTCATGATTTTTCATATTGCATTGGAAGCACTACAAGATGTGTTTCTTGAAATTTTCTTGTGTCTAGGTTGTTTGAATAGAAAGCATCAGCCATTCAAATTGAAATAAAGAAAATTTACATTTTCTGTGCATGAAGTGGATGGAGTTTCAGCACTGCTCAAGTGATTTCCCCCCCTTGATGTTATAAAGAGTACTTTTAAGCCATGTCCTTGTAGTATTCTTCATAGTATTGATTGATACTATGACATTTGGTGATTCTATGATTTAGAATAGTACTCCTATCTAGTATACCTCTATTGAATTACTTTTTTTTTTCTTCAGACAACCTTGATCCATGAAAATTTCAGGAAAAATTTGTTGTAGTTTCCCATGAGATATGAGAAAATCACGAACATAGATGATCCACAGCAAGTTTAATAAAGCATCAAACAGGATAAATGTTTGCACCACCTGATCTTATTCACTTCCCATAGTTCTTACCTTTGCTGTCCAATATGTGGGACTTTTGTCTGATAAAGGTTAATGCAAAATTACTCAATTTCAACCTCTTGGTATATATGTATTTTTTTCAGTGTGTGTCTCCAGAAGACAAGTGTATTGTGGAAGAGAATGGAATAGCTGCTGTAGATTGTTCATGGGTGCGTCTTGAAGATGTCCCATGGAGACAAATCAAGAGTCCTCACCCCCGTCTACTACCTTATCTGGTTGCTGCAAATCCCATTAACTATGGAAAACCCTGTCAGCTATCTTGTGCTGAGGCTATTGCTGCTGCTCTCTTCATCACTGGTTCTATATTAAGACAACTTTTTAGTTGCAATTGTTAAGGTGCTATTAATATAATTCATTGAAATAAATTCTTGTGATTGCATGTCAGGGTATGAAGACTTGGCTGAGAGGTACCTGTCACCCTTCAAGTGGGGTTGTGGATTCCTGGAATTGAACAAGGACCTACTGCAGGCATATCAAGGATGTAGTTCAAGCATAGATGTCATTTCTGTGCAAACACAACACCTCCTTCAGCTCAAGGAAGAGGCATCCTGTCGAGGTACTGGTACTGATAGAACAATTCAGGACATTTTAAACAACTATGAATGGTAGTGTCACATGTATTATGTTATATCTTCAGGCATGAACACCATGGATCTTCCACCCAGTGAGTCATCTGATTCAGAAGATGCAGAAGAAGTGGAGAAAGAGGACAAGAAGTGTATCAAAGAAGAGGAGACACAAGTGAAAGTAACTGAAACTGCAGAAGCATTAGGAGACCCACCTTGACTCAGTTGCTTGCATTCCTTGATATGACAGTGTTGTGGTTGTACTAAACATGGATGGGTTATGTTTGAGATTTATTTTACATTTATTAGACACAGGAAAGACAGTCTCAATACAAAAAAAATCACAGGCATGTTAAGAATTGCTGATCTTGAAGAAACTTGCTGTATTAGAGAAGTACTTAGCTGTAGATTCATCCCCAGGTTTTTCAGCTGCTTGGGGATTCACAATCTCTAGACCCTGGTAGGACAAGCATCAAATGTAATTATTAAGGGAAATACAAAAGGAGACAGCACAGGAAAGAGAGTAATTGGCAGACCTGGAGAGGAGTGAATGCAACACTAGAAGCTGTGCCTGCAACAGGTTTTTTGACTGTTGTGCTCCCTCCAAATATGGCCTGACTACGCTGAAGTGTCTTCTGCAGTGTTTTGGATATGCGCACCTTGGTCTTCTCGTCTACCTGTGCTGCTCGGATGCGACCCCCTTGTGATTTCTTCATTTGGCCAAGGCTCAGTCCCAGATCTTCTTGATAGGCATCCTCCTCAATCTGAGGGATCAAAGAAATTACAATGGCAAAACTTTTTTCCTATTCCACTGGTAAAAGAAAATATTGAAAAGTTTACTCAACTTTAAGAGCACTCAAGAAAATTCTCTATTAAGAAAAAACTGTTAAATGCTTAATTTTATTCCTTAGGGTGATGTAAATTCACATGACCAGATTGAGGTAGTAGTGAAGAAAACTTAAGCTAATATTGAAACTCCATTCCTAGTAAAAATTTCTCCTTAAAAAAAAATACATAAGTCTATGAAGCTCCTTACCATGACTATAGTGCAAAGTACATCAAGTACAGTGGTACCTCGCATAATGAACGCAATTCGTTCCAGCGGTGCGTTCGTTATGCGAGGTGTTCGCGAGTGAAAGTGAAACATTTTTTCCTAATTTCCTTGATTTTTCGCGGCGACGTGGAACGGATTACATGATTTCCCATAGAAGTCTATGGGAAATCGTGTTTCGCATAAACACCTCACATAACGAACGCACCGCTGGAACAAATTGCGTTCGTTATGCAAGGTACCACTGTATACGATATCAATATTTGAAATGGGAAGTTTGATTGGAGAACTACAGGGTCATTTCAAAGGGATTTAGAATATGCAAGGCTCGAGCATCTCTCATCTGCTCTTAGCTTGCAGTCCTTTATTGTTCCTCCCACCCTTCCTCTCCAGCCTTTTTTGGGGAAATTGCTCATGATGCTAAGTGAAAATTTTCATCAAAAGAAAATTGTCCATCCACAGGTATCTTGCCTAGTGTTTATATTGGCCCCATAGGAGTTTTTTTGAACAAGATCTTAACACTTATTGCTTTTTTGTTTGCTTCTGCCAATATGTGACCCTCCCTTAGCCACGAGGTGTTTTTGGCCTGAATTGTTTCAAAGCACAAATAAGGACTCGGGGATATCAAGCTCTAGATGAATACCTATGCCACAAAGATACAACTGCAATATAAATCATCATCCATCCAAGATTGTGGGAGCAATACCAATCTATAAACCAGACTTGTCCTGCCCATTTTTTGCCTTGATCAGCTTATTCATGCTACCCATGTCAAAAAACAATGGGGGGAAAGTTCATTTGTCTAAATATCTCCATATGATATTGTACAAGGCTTGTGCTTTTCTTTTCTGCACATGACATTTCACATGAAAAGATACCTGCCATGTGTAAATGTACAGGGTGTCTCAAAAAAAGTTAATGCTGTAATAATGGACTTTTCTAGTGTTACATTGAACATGAAAAAAAAGTTAGTCAGAAAGAAAAGAGATTAAGCTGAAAACCACATGAAAATTACTATTTCTGAAGCAAAACATGGACAAGTGAAAATTAGACTAGAATTTTACACATCACTAGCAGATGTGTTCAAGGTGAGATTGAGTGATGGGTCACCAAGATTGTTTTATTCAATGAATGCCGTGGCATTTTTGCTGACTAGTGCTCAAGAATCAGCAAAAGTGATGAGTCTCTTGGCAGTACACTTGTGGATCACTTGCTCTTCAATTGCTTGCATTGCTGGATTCTCTTGTTTCGTCAGCATGCAATGGTTCTCCAGCATGTCTGAATTTTGCTCATGTAAAATTTGTCTTTTCATATCTCCCTTCTGAGTTCATTGATTTTCATGCAATCTTCAGCAATGAAAAGCTTCATCTCTTCTCATTTTAACTGCCACAAAAAATTTAATTAAAATTTTATGTAGTACAAGAAAAATCAATTCTTCAAGAGTTAACTTTTCTTTTGAGACACCCTGTAAATGAATACTTTGAATGCAATACCTCTCCAAAGCTGATGCATAAAAAATCACAGTGAATGAGCAGACAGTTACAGCGATGAAATTGGTTTTATAAATTCCTTATATCATGTTCATTGTTCAATGTGTTTGATAGTTCCATTTCTCTTCTGAGGACCTATTCTTTCACAGCCTTGATGTTTTCTGCAGTCAGGTCGTATGTGATCTGTTGCTTTTACATTTTGTCAATTGATCTAGTCAATGAAGATTTAAAAAAAAAAAACTTTTATCTCATGCAAGCATCTTCATGGATGCTTGTCCTCTTCACTGAATCCCATGATGTTCTTTGTAATTTTGAATACTGTGATTCATGATGACAAAAATGATTAGAATGAAAAGGTAGGTCTTAAGCCTATGGAGAATGATGAAAGTCAAATACTAGGTTGTAATGAAAGTTTTTGTGCATAAATACATGCACTTATATGCATTTATGCACAAAAACTTTTGTTACAACCTAGTATTAAAAAACCAACTCGAACACAAAGTAAACTGAAAGCAAGAAGTATCAAAATATAGTTTTTCCACCAAGACTGCCTGCACTTATGTTGGAGTACTTCTTGCCAGGTGCATCACTTGCACCTGGCAAGAAGCAGTGAGTAAGTTCACTGCAATTCTCAATTCTTCAAAACATTTTTGTATTTGAATCACAGGTTGAGATTTTTTCAAACTGGGTAGAAATCTTTCTTATAGATCTAAAGTTTCATGTGCAGAAAAGCTTGAAGCTCACATGAAATATGATGGAGATATTTAACCCTTATCCAGGCAAGGGGGGTCCACTGGTTCCCCCAGGGTATACTTCATTACATTACTCTCTGCAATTTTTTTCAAAATATTCTTCAAATTTGATATGGGTTTCATAGATGGTCATCCATAGATCCAAAATGAATTTTTAAAGTTTGGATTTGCTTTTAAGGAAAAATGTAGAAAAATGTTTGGCCTTGCCAGTTTGTCACAAAAATACCTTGCCCAAATAAGGGTTTGAAAAAATAAAGCAGCTCTCCCCCTCCTTTTTCTTTTTGGAGATATGCTGTACTTTCCTGGGGGTGTGAAAGTATGTTTGGATCAAAACTTAGCAACTTCAAATTTTTTAAACCATGGGTGAGATTTTAAGGATATTTTATACAATTTTATACTCAACAGGGTAAACTGCTATGGCAAATTCTATGATATGCCTTCAATAACTTAATTGAAATTCGGGACCCTTAGGATGAAATGACCCTGATAGCAAATGAATTAGCCATTTGGTATTACTTCAGGGGCACCCTGTACTTGGCTTGCAGTAGAAGGAAATAAGTGACTCACAGCGCCAAAAGTGACCCGATTGGCCTGTTTCCGAAGCTCAGTCATGGCATAGCGTTCCTTCATCTTGCGTACACGGCGGCCACCTCGTTTCTTGCGTGGTGCATCTATCGGAGCTGGAAGGGGTTTTACTGCTTTCACTGGTGGTGGTTCCTGCCATTTATCCTTCTTCTTTTCAATCTGCTCATGGAACATTCTTCCAATCATTCCATCTGTGCTCTCATGCGATGCATCGACACGAGCCGCCAAGATACTTTTGCAGGCCACCAGGCGAGCTGTCTTCCGCCTCAGGTCCTGCTCAAAGATCATCTAACTTAGTGATTTCAGAGTAGTGTTAGGACTAGAGATTTTTGTTGCATATTTTGTATTGGTGATAGGTTCAGTGATAGTCAATGGCATGTATTATATTTTTCATGATACACAAACAAGAAGCATTTTAGACCTAAAAGAATGGATAATTTCTAGGAATTTCTGTGTGAATGGCGACAGTAGGATTTTCATCATAGCAGTGCCCAAAATAGCAGTCATCGCCTATGCATCTTTGACTCTCAGCCCAAAGTTTCTCACTGCAGACTGCAGCATGTCCTTTGGCAGGGAAGCAACTTTCTTCTTTGGTCCTATCCTCAAGTTCTGGCATGCTTTTGCACTGGCTGCTATTAACTTTTTCCATATGACAACAAAAGCAGGAGTTCCCAAAGGTCTGTCAATTGACCCTTGGCAACCAATATATCACCTGGAAAACTTCTCATCTAACCAACTCTTCACAGTCTTGTGAAAGAGAGTCAGGGCTCCATCTTGCATAAAACGAAGCCTCTCAAGAACATTCCAAGTTGATGTGTCTGGCCACATGTCTTCCTGAAGCACAGAGAGATGCTGTTTGCCTTTTGCCTGCAATGCTGCCAGTGGTACCGCCTTTTGAGGGACGCTCAAAATGCTGTTTGTGCCCAATGGGCCATTCCTGCCATAAATGCTTTGCCACCAACACTGGACTTCTCCAAACGTTACATCTTGCAGCAACTTCAAATGGTTGACAGGGAAAGTCGACGAGCTACTGTAAATCCTAAAGATTGTGCTTTCAATTTTTCAACTCAAAACTTATGTATATTCTATCTGAAAAAGAAAGAAGAAAACAAATGCTTAAGCTACTCATTAGACTGTATTCCAGATGAGTATACAGTACAGAGTATTGAATACAGACTGTATTCAAGGCCAACTGGAGTGAATGACTGGCTTTTTTCCTAAAAATGAATCATCTTAGAAGACAACTTCCATTGGAAATAAATATTAATAGTATTCATTGAAACAGAGTGATTCTCCTTTTTTCTTTACACAATCACCCTGTTAATATAAAAACTAGGGCTGTCACGATAGATCAATACCATTATTTATAGTTGGAGATATCGATAGTTTTTTCGACCATCACGATGCATAAGCAAAATCTTTTAAAGGGGAAACGTCCCATTGGGTTGAGGCGAGTACAGTACAATACAGTCCGTCCGGGTGGGGGAAGGAAGAAGCGGCGTGACCCGCATGGGCTTATAATTTCTTATCACAATCAAATTCTGGAAATGCTGGGACTGACTATATGAAAGATGGGAAGGGAAAATAAAGTAGGATCAGAGACAGGAAGTGGGAAAGAGGGGGGAAGCCCAAGAAGATTACTTTTTTTATTGTCAGTTTCAATCACCAGCTCAATCTCATCAGGTGCATGCTGCGGAAGTGGACTATTCTTATACTCCCTTGATTTTTAAACGTACATTGGTTAATCCCCTCTCTATATTCCTGTCTATCACTTTAGTATGCAGGCTTAACTTTCTTAATCTTTAACTTGCCTTCGGGCATTTTATCTCTACTTATGGTGAAATCAAAGTGAATATTTTACATGGACGTTGCTTATTCTAGGGCTGTACTGATGTTTCGGCAATTGCTGGTATGGCACCATCAGCAGGTTTCCTATCTGCCCGTGCCGATGTCCAGACAGCATAGAACGAAGAAAATTGAGGCTGTCCTGATGCATCCATCAACGAATGGATGTCATCTTCGATAGTTGGAGGCATGGAAGGTTTCATTACTCTTTGTGAAGGTTACACATTCCCCTTGCACCCCTGATCACAATTGTGAGATTATGGAAGCCAGATAGAGGTCCGCACTCCGATCACAGCGAGGAAAGATGGAATCCTCTGGCGCACCCCCCCGCCTGATGCATCAATGTTTTGAAAACTGCTATTGTGACAGCCCTAATAAAAACTGATGAAATTGAATTTGGATTTTTTTTATCATTTACCAGCAGAAAAATGTGAGAGTTGTACCAAAAATTGTGGATTTATGAAATAAAATCAAAAGTTACAGGCAGATTATCTTCTAGATAGTTCTAGTGATTATCTTCAAGATAATCACTAGAACTCTTAATGCACTCTCTCCACTGTGATGACAATTTGAAGTCTCATCACAACCCAATACTTGCAGCAATTATGGTGGCAAATTGTCTCACATCCTCCCAAAAGCCTGGATATGGCACCCTCTACCTGTTCAAACTCAAGGAAGACCATCTGCAAAGAATTCATTTCACCGATGAAGATGAGGTGAAAAGGCTATGACAAGGCAGAGGACACTTCTGACCCCTTGTTCAAGGACTGGCATCTTCAAATTGCTGTCACAGTGGAGGGAGTGTATCGATAGTGCTGGTAATCGTTTTGAAGATGATGCTACTCTGGAGAACAATGCCTGCAAGTTTTACAGCAATCTGCCTGAAATTTTAAATTTTATTTCATAAGTCCAGAAATTTTTGGTACAACCCTTGTAACATAAGGTTGCAATAGGTGTTCTGAAGCTATGAAAACATTCATGACTCACAGGTGGCATTTCCTGAACAAGGGGACAATAGTAGATGAATCCTGTGTGGGGAAGCATGGTGACCTGAGAGAATCCAGAAAGATTCTTCTTCTGTGCACCCAGAAGAAGCATATTACATGCAGGCATTTTGGCCAAATTTGTCAGGCCTCCTGCCACACCTGGAATGCAAAGAATCCCATAAAATGAATACTTGAACAACTGAATACTTTAAATAAAATGTGATATGAGAATGAGCATGATAGAATCACCCATGACTTTTGCAGCAGTAGCAGCTCCAAGAACTGCTGATAGATTGGGAGCAATGAATGTCATTCGACTCTCTACGTATTCATAGATCTTCAGCTTGCAATCATTCAGTTCAATGGCCATGACACAAGCCTGCCTAATGGCTTCTAACTCCTTCTCCGTCAATTGCTCCCTACACAAGAAAGACAATTATGGGTAACAAGCAAGCCATGTGCAACCATAACTGTTCAGAATTGTGTGGGTTTCTTTTTGCCATGGCTTACTCTGCACACCCAAGTGGAGCATAGAGTCATATGTAAATAGATCATTAATGGACCTGAAAATGGACCATATACAGGGACCAAAAAAAAAGCGCACCTATTTTCAAATGGCATTTTATCGAAAACTATTTATGATAGCGACTTGAAAGAAAAAGCAAACGAAAGGGCAATTAATTTCCTATCGAATGGTATATGGTTTAATGACCATAGCTCCCATACCAAGGCTGCTATGCCCATTTTTTAAAAACATACCACCAAAAAAATAGCGACTTGAAAGAAAAAGCAAACGAAAGTTCAATTAATTTCCTATCGAATGGTATATGGTTTTATGACCATAGCTCCCATACCATGGCTGCCATGCCCATTTTTAAAAAACATACCACCAAAAAAAGTTGCACAGCGAGAAAAATTAGAAATTGTCTTCATGCATGGCAGAGATCGAGGACAAAAGCCCCAATGGCTACGTGCTTATGCAAGATGGGACACCAGCCCATACAGCTCAACACACCATCACTTTCTTGAGGAACAACTGCCCTGATTTCATTGAACCAGACTCTTGGCCACCCTGCAGTCCTGACCTCAACCCAGTCGACTACTTTGTGTGGTCAGCTTTGGAGCAGAAAGTGTACTGGGGTGTAAGAATCCGAGACATCGAACAGTTGAAGGAGCGAATTCGCATGGCTTGGGATGAACTCTCGCAGAGCTCCATCGCCAAGGCCATTTCCAAGTGGAGAGGCAGAATGAGAGCAGTGGTTGATCATGGTGGAGGCCACATTGAGCCATTCATTGAAAATTAAAGTCAAAGGTAAGTCTTCATGTTTTTGAACTCTTGCAATGCGAAGACACGATGAAATTTCTAATTTTTCTCGCCGTGCAACTTTTTTTGGTGGTATGTTTTTTAAAAATGGGCATGGCAGCCATGGTATGGAAGCTATGGTCATAAAATCATATACCATTCGATAGGAAATTAATTGAACTTTCGTTTGCTTTTTCTTTCAAGTCGCTAGCATAAATAGTTTTTGAGAAAATGCCATTTGAAAATAGGTGCACTTTTTTTTGAGCCACCCTGTACATATATTTTTTAACTGCACAAGGAACATTCTTTGTCTCACTCAAATGCATACTTTCAAATAAATGTGAGTAGTCATAAAGCAGCAGCTAGGACAGAGTCACTATCATTTCTTCTATATGCATCTCAAATATGGGATGCTTGAAAATTGTTCCACACAATGTGACTTAGTCCTCAGAAGGTGATAAATACTACCTTTGATGTAAGAATGGCTGCACCCATGTTTCTTTGATGCATCTCAGACCATGGTGTGCAATCTCAGAAAAATTTGCATTATAAAGACATTCATAGACAATTTGGAAAAACTCATGTAGCCCAGAAATTTAAAGGGTGGGTGGAAATGGGTTGAACATAAAATGTAACTGAAGAAATAAAAACGTAACAAAAAGTATAAAAGCTGAAGAGTTCCTTGGCTATGAGAGGCAAAGCCAAAAGTCTTGTCATCTAAAAGTCTAAAATGAAACTAATATCACTCATTTGTGCATACATTTCACAAACAATACTTGCTATCTGCAGAGATAAGGCAGGAAGTAGTTGTGATCAAGGAACAAGCTGTAACTTAGTTCCTGTCAAAAGCTATGTGTTGCTCAGAGATCCACTTGCATGCAAACAGTGTAATGGGAATGAATGTTTTCTAAGAGTTCAATTGTGTTCAACTAACTTTTCTCATAGTGGAAAGACAAGGACTGATTGGGATGCCCTATAATAGCAGTGACACATTGCGAAGTTCAACGCTATCATCACAGCTGAATGGCAAGTGACATTGAAGTGTATCATGATGGAGTTGGCTAATGAAACCACACAGTTCAAGAAATACTGTACAACAAATACAACAAACTGCAACATAAAAAAATATGTGCAAGATGCACACTTCATCAGCTGACAGGAATGCAGAAAGAAAATTGTTGAGGATTTGCTTAGCTAATTACAAAGGGAAGACGATGGCTTTCTTAACTGGATTGTCATAAGGGATGAGACATGGGTACACCACTATGTATCAGAGGGAAAATGTAAAAGTATGGAATGGCACCATAATGGTTCTCCCACATCCAGGAAATTCAAAAATATCCCTATCTGCTAGCAAAGTCATGGCAGATGTCTTTTGGAATGAACAGGGTGTCATCTTGTTGAACTTGATGACTAAAGGCACTACCATTAATGCCAGTGCATATATGGACAGAATGAAAAACCTCAAGAGAGAACTAATGAGGAAATGTCCAGAGGTTTCACAAGAAAATCTGATACTGCTGTTTGACAATACCAGACCACACAGGACAGCCACTAAAGTGATGTTCCCCAGCAAGCAACTATGTACATTTCTTCCCCATCCTGCTTTACAGTCCTGATTTGACATCCTTGGATTTTTAACTTCTGGTTCCATGAAGAAGCACTTGAATGGAACCCAGTTTGCAAATGACCAGGCTCTGCAACATGCAGTACAGTAGAGCAGTGTAGGAAAAATGTTTTCTTTTTCCCGCAAACCTGAGGCGACAAATTTGAATTTTCTGGGAAGGATATGCAAGCGGTCTAAGCGGGTCGCCCATCCACTCATCTCTGTTCCTGTGAACCTCGTTCACAGGTTCACAAGGGTTTTCCTAGTCTGCAGTAGAGGCTTCATGAACAACAGGAAGACGTTTACTGAATCAGAATACTGGCTCTTCAACACCAGTGGGAAAAGTGCATTAGCATTTATGGATAATATATTGAAAAATAGGAGTACATGTAGCTTACACTGATGCATATTGGTTGCAAAACTGAGGCATGCAGGATTTATGCTTTTTTTTAAATAAAATAGGTAACAAGACCAATAGGGTTTTGCCCTTGTAACTCAACATATATATATATTTTGGAATCCTGAAATTCTGAAAGCAATTTTGATCTCCTCACTATATTCTGGATCCTTTTCATCAAATGTCACTTTGTAAGAGCCAATAAGTCCAGACCAAGATTGATGATTCAGGAACCAAAATAAAGGATGATGAAAAGTAAAATGTAACAGTGATAACAGATTCTGGCTATCTAGTGTCCCATATTTTTCCATAATTCTTTTATTTAAAAAAAAGGCTATAAAAAATCCCCATAAATATCTACTAAAAGAGATCAAAATATCAAAGTAAAATACATTTCAGTGACTACAGCACTTGGACTACATTTAGCCAGTCTGTTGGCATCACTGGGCATGGATGTTCAGTTGTAAGAACTTACTGAATTTGAAACCCTGAGCATGTTTAGAAAATATATTATTCTAAGAATACAGTGATTTTGGGGGCATTCAATTGCTCAGATGTTGTTCAAATAAAATGACAACATAATATTATTGGAATATGGAATATTGGAATGTGGTCCCCACTGGAACACAAGGTGAATTCTGATTCCTATAAACTTTAAACTGCCTTTAGATCCACTTTTGGTGTTCATATCTGCAAGTAAAAAAAAGCTATTCACATGCACAGCACAAGTTGTCGAGTACAAAAAAATGTAAATCATCTGAAAATAAGAAATCTTGACCTGTACCTCACACCCTTACCTCCTCATCTTAAGAACAGGCTTTCTTAACTCTAAGTAGAGTACTCCTTATTTTTAGCATCACTTGCTCAAATGAGACCTCTCTCTTGATTACAATGATTCTTGGACTGTGTGGCAGCAAATAATATCAGCCTCTTAATAAGATAGGATAAATTCAACTTCATCTTGTCAGGAATGCTCAGCTTTGCTCTACTCCACTCTATGTTGATGAAGGCATGATAGTATGACAATGAAATGTAATGCCAGCAAGAGAAGCACTGACCTGAAAAGCTATGATAGCAACAGTGCAGAGCCACCCATAAAAATAAAGCCATGGTCGGTAGATCTAGAAAGGAACACATGGGAATTCAAGGCATACCCCTGGGTGGTGGATGCAGTGACAGTGACCACCATGATGGTGGCTTGGGTGAGGAATTGAGGAAGGGCTTCATTATTTTTGGCAGCCTCCAGGTCATTCCCAAGCTCCTTCACTGTCATCATATACTCAAGGGGGGCCACAACAAGACTCTCCAATTCTGGGAAGCGCTTTGAATACTTGTCCCTCACAAACTTATGAATCACCACTGCAACATACCACATGCTAAAAACAGCACTTAGACATCAACAAAGATTTACTACCGAAAAAAACACTTTTGGTAACTCACAGATCTCATTGTCTATTTCCACTGCCAGATTATTGGCTTCAACAATTAATTGATATTCAGGATCAGCTTCAACAGGGCCCATCTGCTGCTCAGCTGTGCGTTGATTTGCCATGCATTCTTCCATGGCAGCCATGATCATCTGTAACTGGTCTGATCCCCATAGTTTTGCTACCTGATCCACAGTCTTCACCTTCACATCTACAGCAACCAAAAATACTCTTAAGAATAAATATATTTTAGTTTCACATGATATTCATTTGTTTTATTTATTCACCTTTTTATTCTCATAATGGACACTGCACAGAAAATCAAGGAGCCTAATCTCATTATTTTAGATATTTTACAGAAGATTTTAGAAATCCTATAACATTTCCATTAGAAACATCACAATACTGGACTCAGGCCAAAAGCATGAATCCAAAAAATATGTCATCTTAAGTTCACATTGTCATAATGACAGTGTTTACAAATGTAGCACTGTACTTGATCAGTGTTGCCATGAGAAGTATGGCAGGTGAGCTCAGTGACCTCACCACAAAACAGATGCAAGTAAGGATGGGTTATGGACTGGTCAATAACCCTTTCACCTTTAAGTTTTGCTGTGAGCAGCAGTCCCCCCCAGTGCTGTTTTTTTTTTTTTCCTTTTTAAGTGCATAAATCACATCCCATCAAAAGGTTGCATGGAGTAAAATATAAGTAGAGATATATGGTTTTTTTTTCTCCTTCTATGCTCTGTGAGTTCAGGAGAGTTCACAATATAATATTGAGACTGATGTGCTAGTGGCACAACTTCCAGCCATTAAGTTTACTAAGTTGCCTTGGTGAAAGTGTTAAAAATTTGTCAAGTGACCAGTTAACATAATCATTTCCAGTCAATAAGGTGTACTCAGGTATGGTTTCTTCCTCCGCTGCTTTGTGCTCCATTTGGATGTCATAACTCACAAGTTACAACCACAAATCTCCCTTGAAATGGATTTTCACATAAAGGTTGGACACAGAACATGACAGAAATCAATGATATTAAAACTAACAAAAAACAACTAGAAAGGTTCATAACCAACATGCTGGAAGGGAATTCAGCATGGAGAGTGAAAGTTGGAGCTATCATTTTTCAGGTGTGAGCATTTAAAGCCAAGGCCATGGTATTGCCAGTTCATAGTTCAGTCCTTCACTATGATTAAGACCTCTAATACCTCATGGCAAACCAAAGGTTCTAAGGCTGTAACTTAGATGCTGAACCTTAGCCTTGTGAATCAGGGAGGCTGTAAGATCTTGAACATCAAGCTGGGCCTGCACACACACTGTATACCAATCAGACTGTGACAGGCCATAATAAAATGAACACCAACCATAGTATTGTCACCCAATAGCCCAAGAAGTGCCACAGCACTGATCTAGGTGGGCTGGATAAGTATAACTCAAAACTAGAATTGGTAAAGGGCTTTAGTGCTGGAGAATAAATAACTGCAAGCTTGAGCATGACAATTTAGTGCTTTTGTTGAATGTGAGCTTAATATGAGTCAATTAAATTTTGATACCAGTCAATTGACTATCTTATCTTGATGTGCAACAACAGCAAGAGTCTCCTAAATTGTTCTGCTTTTCTAAAAATATAAAATAAAATAAAATCAGTCACTTCAAGCAAAATTTTAGCCTGGAAACTGAACAGGTTGGATTAAGATAGAAAAGGACCCCAAAACCCCTAGGCAAGAGGGTTGTCTGGAACATAAAAAGGCCATGGATATCTAGTCAGCAGTGTTGGAAGGGATACTTCATAAAGTCCTTGGTAACTGTTAACTAATTCTTTTTCAGCAAAATTAACCATTACTGCATTCAGATTGCTGCACTTTGCAATTACTCAACAGATTACTCTTCAATTACTTTTCAGTTGAGCTAAGTTAAGTTTAAAAATCAGGAAGCCTGCTCAAGTTCAATAAATGTATGGAATACCCACCCTAACATCTACAGGGTATTCAAAAAAGTAATGTGACCCATGGTATGAGTATCAGTCACTTTCAGCTGCCACATTGGTCATCAAAGTCATGCTGGGTATCACAGTAACTTCTGGTCCTTGTGTAAAGCTTTACCAAAAGTTTTTCTTTTCTGCAATGAGTACTTGCCACCTATTTTTCCTCCTTAGTTCACACATTTACTTCAGTGCCTGACAGGACATAACTCCATGGGTTGTGTGACTTTTTAAATATTCTCTAGAAATGACCATGAATGAACTAGACTAGATTGAAGGAAATAAAAAAATGTTATGCAATAAAATTTCATTGTGAAAAAATCACCACAGCAGATAGGAATTCATAATTGAGTCACATTTTAAAATGATATTTAATGTAGAATAGTTTGCAGGAAATGAGCATTGCTCTCTAAGGAGAGAGCAAGAGGAAGAGAACACCAGAAATACTAATTGGCAATGCTTTGGGGCAAGTCATTTATATTTTAAAAAGAATATTGGTAGTCTGATGGGTGAATAAATAGGTTTGAGCTAAATTTTAAGGAAATCAACCCCATTGTGTCACATGCTGGACTGGTTCAAACTTGAAGGATTAAAAATGCACCAGACACTCCTGCTGATGCATCTACCTAAGCCAGTGCAGTGAGCTCTTTAAGAGGTGGGAGCACTGGCTTAAACCCTTGAATACATGGTTCTGAATGAAAATTTTAGAACATTAGACAACAGCAATAAAATGCAACAATGCTACAATAAATGCAACAATAAAATGTTTAGGTCTTCATCTTAAAAATTTGAAGAAGGAATTTCCCCCCCTGTTTTTTCCATTTTCTAGGAAGAGCAGCAGTGAAATCCTTGCCATTTTTTTTTTTTCCAATAAGAAAAAAATCATGAATGTAAGGGTTAAGCCAAGAGGATAGTCCATGGAACCATTGGTAAATCCATTTCAACACTCCAACAAATCATCAATGATGGTCTCAGATTAAAATGCTTTTTAAAAAAACCCACAGTACTGTAAGAGTGGTGTCACTTGGAGCAGAGCAACATCAATGGAGCAAATCACGAGTCAAGGCAAAGGTATGGGTATCTTTAAAATTCAGCAATAGCCTTCTATTATCTGTCCATAGTCTATGTTGAAAATATTGGGCCAATCTGATGAAATATGCTTATGCTATTATCAAACAAAAGTTTTTTTTTTTCAACAGTGTATGTGCATTCTGTGCCATCCATCAAATGATTTCCTCATTGGGCAAGGTAACCAAGTATCACCATGGCATTTTACACTCTCTATGTTGCAGGTTCAACTTATACATCTCATACATTAGTACTTTGTAATAAGGATAGACAAGTTTGGGGAATATAAAATTAGATTAAAGCCAGCCATCGTAAAATAATAAACCTCTCACCTTCTTTCTGATCTTTGTCAACATGAAACTTAGTTCCCAGAAGAGCAGCTGCTGGTGTGATGGCAGCCTCCATGTCCACATCTTCCTGCTTCACATCTTCATTTTCTTCATCCTCTCCTGCATCATCTTCAAGATCAGCTAAAAGTTCATCTGCTAGGGACATGATGAGCTGATAGGTTGTACCTTCTCTTTCACTACTTCTCTGTTCAAACAAAAATCTGCAAGAAAATGAGATAAGATCAGAGATTATGATGAATTTGAGAATTCTTAATCCACTCATGACCAGATGTGGGAAAGGGCTGAGGAAAGAATCATTTGCATTCCCAAGTTCTGTTCTGCTCCACCTGGCCCATAAAAGTTCAAGTTTCTACACAGATGTGTACTGCATGGGCACTAGATGAAGCTTCATGGCAAAACATCTTATTCAAAAATTTGGAGAGCCTTCTCATTCAACAAATTGTAGAACTGCTAGAAAGGCTCAGTGAACAAAGATAAAGTCTGACGCCCTAGGCAGTCTTCAAGAGGGTATTCTCCAAAATCTATCACCAAGGTCAATGCTTTAAAAATGATAAAAGTCTCACTGAGTTCATTGGCATTCCTGATTCTATTATTCCATCCAGGAAACACAACTTAGCCCAAATTGCTGGAGTTGGCCCTACCCTGGAGTTACTCCAGGAAAAGGCTTATGCCAGGCCAATAGTTAGTCACTGAAAATAAATAAATAATGATTGGGGGAATGGTATATTCCATAAATCATCATCATGAAACAAAATGACTTTCTTCTCCGCATCAAACTGTCCCATTCTTTCAAAAACCTTTTTTTCCGATTTATAATGAGATGTAGGAGTCAATTTTTATGCTTGGAACATAAAACCGATGCATGGTGAAGACATCGACCATTGAACGTTCACCAACGAGGACCTTCAACCCTCTTGTGTAACTTTCACCTTAGGACAAGAACTGCTCTTCTAACTGTTTTTCAGACTGATTGCAGGGTACGGGAACTTTTGGGCAACGTTCTCATGCATATTTTCTTTATCTAGGGCTAGACCATGGGTGTGAAGGAGTCTTCGCCCCGAAAAATGATAGGGGGGTGCACCACACTTCGAGGTTGACCATTTCGAACCTGGGATCCCATCAATAGAATCCATGCTCTCTACGTACCCCGCCACTCCAACCCTACTGCTTGCCGAAGTTTACTCGTGGGCTTACTTGGAAAGGAATCGACCTCCTCAAGCCCTCGCTGGAGCTCCAATTCATTTCACAATCCCAGCCAGCTATATCTGTATTTGAATTATGCAGAAAAGTTATCCTTCCGTAATGCCTAGGAATTTGTTGAGTTCAGGAGGGTCCATCGATGGAAGCGACGGAAGCAAGTGCAAGCTCCAGCAACCCTGCACATGTTCATGGCTTCGTTCTCCTTCCACGTGCGGTTCAATGGCACTGGAAAAAAGTATCTTATCTTGTAGTTCTAATGGAAGCTTAAGATTCCCCGCGCGTTGTACCTCTATACGTTTCTTATAGATGATCGCTCTGATAGTGACTGATTAACAGCCTTATTTCGTAACTGTTTATTACTACCTCCCTAGGGACCAGGAGGAGAAATGGGATTCTCCTTGTATTCCTTGTTGGAAGCAACATTACTGGTGATCAATGCGCTTGCTATCCTAAATGAGCAGCGCTTCTTGTCTAAGCTTAGGTGGGATCAAGACACTACAACTTATCAAGGATTTGGACCATCTTCTCAAGGTTCTGTCAAGACTCAAGCACTTCATCTCATCCGATCAGTGCAAACAGTCATGCGGATTCCTCTCATCTTCCTCAATTCTTGTGTGATTATCGGCAAGCTATTGCTTGGTTAAAACTAGCGAAATGAATGATATTAATCGTGTGTTTGATGACATTGCACTATACGAGGACAAAGCCTCAAAATCAGGGTTTGATCTTGGTTACCGAGAAGGGCTTTTGTGTGGAAGGGAGGAAGGCAGGCGACTTGGTTTCACGAAAGGACTGGAGTTGGGGTATGAAATTGGAGAGATAAATGGCTTTATCTCAATGTGCAAAACGCAACATTCGGTGTTTGCAGACCTTCAGAAACCTCGAGTGAAGAAACTCATTCAGGACTTGGAAGCCCTCATTGCTAAGTTCCCCAGAGAAAATACAAAGGACTTGAATTTTGCTGAATTGCTTATGCTGATAAGGGCCAGATTCAAGCAGCTTCAGTCCCTCCTTCACATTGGAACCCATCATGGTGCAATGGAAGAATTATCATTTTAGGCTTACATTCCTTGTTATGCTAGCAGGACAGAGAGAAGATCCAGAGCTGAAAAACGTCTTGGTAAGAGATTCTCCATTGTCTTGAAGAATCCCATGTGCTTTGGGATTGACACAGACTTTATGGACTTCTATTAAGCAAATTTTTGAGAACTGCTTGTGAGAATTCAGGTGGTAATGCTAAAGTTGGACTCAAGACTCTTGCAGCAATGCTTCTTCAATTGTCTTCATTCATATTGGTACATCCAGATGGATCAATTTCTGAAGACAATGTTTCTTTTGGAACTTTTTTTCTTGGTGTTGTTCAGAGCTGTGATCTAAAGTGATTGGGTTTATGTACTTTGGTGAAACCTGAGGAATTTGCTCACAATGAATATATCAATGAAGAAATTTAGGCCTATCAGGATATTCTTTCCATGAAGAGCCAGAAAATGACCATTATGGCAGTTTGTACTCACATAACTGTATGTCAGTATTTGCAATTTTGGAATGGAGTGAATTATTGTTTGACGTCACTGTTGCATATGGACTTGGACTCCTTACTGTTGGCTTAGATTCATTGAGGTCCTGCTTCATCAATCACTGTTAAGAGCCTCCTGGTATAGAAAGTATTGCCTGTGTTGTCAACTGTTGCTCCAATCCCCTGAAAGTTACTCAAAGACCCTGCTTTTCCTCTCATTTCACAGATAGCATGAATAAAGTGATCCTGACCAGAACCTTACTTGATACACCCAACCAAGTTCAGAAATTTTAATCTGTGCTTTCAGAAATATGTTATCACTTCTGATTGACCTAGGATTCTGAGATAGGTATATGATCCTGTTGAGTTCATATGCTTTTTGTGAAGTGTTTCAAGCAGGCCTCTTAGTCCAGGGGTACTGCCACAGGATAAATGTTGGCAAAGCTGAGTCACTCAGCATCAGAATCTCCATGATCATATCCTCTTTGAGCCATGGCTGGTTTCATTGTGAAGAACCTTATCATTTACTGGCTGAATCTTCTGAATGAGTTTTTGGCCTTGGTTTTTTTTAAGGTGGGAATCATGTATTATGTCTGTATGCTAAGGTACATGTGTTGAGTGAAGTGATTGTGCAATTCTTTAATCAAGTTATTTCTTCCCATTTTGTCCTGCTGCTAAGGCTCTCCATTGATTTTTTCAAACACAAATAGCATTTTCCTCCTAAGATTGTATCATATGTTCTTGAAGTCCTCATGGTCCTCAGAGATTCAGATTATAAATAAAGTTTATTCCATGCCTATGGCTTCAGGTAATTAGGTCATCTCAACTGACCCAATTCTCAAAAAAATGTGGGATGGACCTCCTTCCTTTCTTGCTCTCTTGAAACACTTGCAGCAGTCATAATTATTGATGAAGGTCTATGAAATCAAAGAAGAGAAAAAGAACTTTAATGATAAGAATTCACTATAGTCATGGTGCTGAATTCTTAGTAATAAATGGGATGAGGAAAGGGTTGTATTCACTCAAGAAGTTTGGGAGAGCTATCTATTTTTTTCTGTATGGGATGTTATTTGGTGTATGTTAATTTTAACAAGAAACAACTGGCTCCAAAGAGTATACAATGATGGCCTTAGCCATGGTGTCTGCATCAGGAGGAGCAGTCATGTAGTTATTGTCAGCATCTTTCTCAATTGCTGACTACATCATGATTCATCCTGTCAGAAAATCTCTCACCTTGACATTAGCATTTTCAGTAAAAATTTGGCAACTTACCCACCCAATCCTGCACCATCAGGGACTTGGTTTACTGTTGCAGGCATGGGTAGCTCATGATGGTCTGCCACAGAACATCACATCTGATGAATGTGAATGCAACTGTCATTTGCATTTTAAAAGAATAGGCAATATTGGACTTTGGCTTAAGAGGAATAGTTGAATAATTAATGGCCAAAACCTGTGATTATAAAATTGCTAATGACTATTACTTAAATATCATCCAGTAGCTCCCAACCCCTGCAGATGAATTGGTCCAGTATTGTAGGCACCTATTTTTTGCGAACAAAAAGTAGATGGATCTACAGGGGCTGTCGATAACTGGAGGTTTCCGAGTCAATTATGAATATGAGAAAATCAAACACACCACTGTGCTGAATGCTGGACCTTAAAGAAAAGCATACTAGACACTGAAAATGAAACAAGATAGGGATGTCCAAAGGCCATGCCAGGCAGCTGGCTGCCTTCCAGTTGCATTTCCCTGTAGCATGGCTCAGGATGCACCTGCATATCATGTCAAGTTTCTTATTGGAAATCTTTGGAGGTCAGAATGACTGGAAAGTCTCAACTCCAAGTGTAGATGCCAATAATAGTCATAGTTTGAATAGATCATAGCAATGGGATACTGCTTGAATTGAGTGGGTGAAATAATTCCCACTAAGAGGAGAAGTTTAGGGGCATTCCTTACAAAAATTTGACACAATTGGATTATTTTAAGGATGCTGGAACATTGGCTAAATTCAGACAATATATAGGTGAACCTCGGTTGTGGCTAGCATTAACATCAAAAGGGGAGCGCCTCTCCACTCAAAAAGCTTGTTTCAAAGCAGTCTGTCCACATCGAACTTGAGCAAAGGCAAACTTATAGTATCTCAAGAAACTATATTTCTCGTTCGATTTTGCTACTCTCTGGATGCTTTATAAAAATTGATAGGACCAATAGACAGAATCATATGATGAATTAAGATAAATTTTTTTTAAAATAACTTTTTGGAAGATTTTCCTTCTGCCCTCATGGCAAACATGCCATCCGTATCGAACAAGGGTATCAAATCGAATGAGTTCTCCACACCCAGGAAGTGAGTCATGAGCGAATTGATTGCGTACCACATTTGAGGAGTTCTCGGGAAAAGGATGATTTTTCAGAAAGTAATTTAAAAAAAACAGGTAATCGAGAAATTTGGTCTAGTCCGAGGGAAAATCATTTTTTAAATATTC